CAAAAAACACTTCAAAGATGATTCAGTTTTCCGTTTCCGTGATGCAGATGATCAAAATTAGTAAAATTGAATCTAAATGTGTTTGCATTTCTTTGCTGATGGTGACTAGTGAAAAAATGCTTGTTAACTTAACCTTGATCATAAGTATAAACAGAGCTCATTTTGAGGCATTTAATTAACAACTGTTACCATTCTTACTCAAGTTAGATTCATCATAACATATCTCAGTTTCACCATGAAATTAATTTCTATGTTTTTTATTTTATTCTTGTTGGCCATTCATGTGAGTATCGCATTTCTTGCAAATAAATCAATTGGTTATTGACGATCTTCAAAGCAGTTAAATATCGCTAACCAATAGTTAGTGAATTGTGATTGAAACCTTTAGATGCGTAAATTAATTTTTACTTTTACTTTGTAAATTTGTCGATTCTCATGTCAAAGTTATAAGTCTTGTTGCAGAGCGTCAGATTGTCTCCCTGGTGAAACTTGCTTTCCTTTTTAGTAGTTTGTTTTTTATCATCCTTCATTTCAATTCAATTTATTCAGTTTTATATTTAATTTCTGTTTCATTCCTTTATACATCTATTGTATCTATTGTATCTATTTAGTTACTCAATACAATCAACTACTCATCGAATTGACGGCTGGAACTTTTGGGTTCTGGGAAGATCTGATGTAGGCTTATTCCATCCCAACACCTGATGCATCTACACTCCAATGTTAAAGAGAACTTTTTTGGGTTTCAAAGTTTCAGAGAATGGAAAGGTCCAGGCTATAACACGCCGTGGTAACCACGGCGCTCGCCAAAACTTTAGAGTATAAATATTCTTCATAATCATCGAAAGAAAAGCAAACTAAATTCACTTTCCCTTTATAGCAAAGAGGTAAAATCAAACTGGAAGCTCAATATAGCCATCAAAGAATGTCCGACAGAGAAGCCATTAACTTAGATTTATCACAGAAGAACAGGATTTCGATTTGATAGATTTAATGGATATTACAATAGGCTTGAAAGCGGTAAGAGTCACGTAATCTCGGTGGAGAGGAATTAAATAAACTGTAAAACATTGAATTGGTATGAGAAATGAGTTGGGCATGCGATTGCCCGTGATAACCTGCTACCATAAAAATTAGATCCACTGCAAAAACAGTGACGTCTGAGCCTGGTATACTGTGAATAATGTAAGAATGATTTCAATATAAATTGAAGAATTGAAAATAAACTAAAACAGAAAGTTCACGAACTGATATCGACAATTCATGAGTAGCTACAGTTTGCGCCAGAGTCTTTTAATTTTTTGTTACTCTGCAATTAAGTGAACTACAATGGGAATACCACGAATTTTACAATTAAAACGATTTCACTTTTTCATGCCCCTTATAGCCCTCTACGCCTCTCTTCCCATAGGGGCAGTAATTTAGTTTTTTAATTGTTTTAATTGCGAAATTCGTGGTTTTCACTTGTAATTCATCTGCATGGTTGTGTAATAACAAAAAAGTAAAAAACTCGGGGAAAACTTAAGTAATACTTTTGACCTTCTCAAAGACCAATAAAACAAAATTAGCTGCCCACGTTTCGATTTCGACATTTGGATGCATCTAAAAAACAAATATAAATACTTGTAGAAAAGCATTCTTTCTAGATAGAAACGATGCCGAAATGGAAAAGTACGCAGCTGAATTCGATGGAATGGTCTTCGTGCAGTTCGAACTTACAGATAGCTGCGAATGAATTGTCAATATTGATTGAGGAACTCCGACTGTTCGCCTCCATCACATTTTCGCACAATTTTTTATAAGATCCACCAACCCAAATCCACCAAATTGTTGACCACTTTTACACCATCTACACATTCACAGTTAACCGTTATCATATCCCAAAAGTGTCTTAATTTCGGTAGGATTTGGGTGGTGGATAATCTTATAAAAAATTTTTTGAAAATGTGGTGGACAATTTTGTTGAGAAAAGTCTCTTTGGAAAGTGATGATGTTTGATTCGGTTGATTTGGTGGATGTGTTTGATTGAGTGGTGGGCAATATGGTTGACAATACAGTGAAAAACGGTAAAAAAGTAATGAAAAAGCCGCTCCCGTTCAATCTAATCAATAGATACCAAAAATGTGCTGCCATCTATCGGCATTAAAATCTACTAGATTTACTGCAAACAGTGTAGTCTGAGCTTTTGATATGCAATTTCAAATATTTTTAATTTGATGTGTTGATGTTATCGAAAGAAGTTCTTATTTAAAAAGAGTGCAGGCAAAAAGTCGAGCATTCGAGTTAAGTTTCGAGTCTTGGTAGGTTTGTAGAAGAATAAAAATTTAGTACATTAGAGTTATTAAATAAATTCTCCGATTGATAGAATCGAAACCAAAGGTGAAACTTGGATCGGCTTTGTTCAATTATGGAAGTAGTGTTACTCAAAATAAGTGTTTTTTCTGGTTGACCATCAAAAGCTACACCATTTACTTTTACATTACTTTTATAATTTAACAAAGGCGATCGAAATTTCAACTTTGAACTGGCTTTTCTCAAAAACTGTGGATCAGAGAAATTTTTAAATCGCACAAACGGACTCAGGTTTTATGTCCCTACAAACTAACAGAGTAAATCTTCACCAAAAACTATACAGTAAATTTCGACCCTTATAGCAAGCTATTCTGAAGATTTCATCAAAATCGTGATTATTATTTTTGAGTTATCGTCGAACAAAAATTCTCATTTTCACCTCATATGTCTGAGCGAAGCGAAGACAAATGAAAATTTGGGAGCAGGCCAATGTTGACCAAAAACTATTCAGCAAAGCCTTGACACGCTATAAGCCTATTCTCAAGATATCGAGAAAATCTTGATTATAAAAATTGAGTTATATCGTCAGAAAAATTTCTGATTTCACCTTATAGTCTTCGCTCCGCTCAGACAATAATCTGAAAATTCACACCATGAGTTTGCGTTGTCAGATAAAGGCTATGTTAAAGGTATCAATGATCTGTATGAGATGTTTGTTAAAGCTGATGAGACTATTGACCAGAAAATTGATTAAATAAATAATCGAGAAAATCTAATGAAACAAAGCCAATCGTAAGAGAAAGAGAAGATCCAATTAAATTAATTCATCGAGTATCTATTGATACATATTGCTGCAAGCAAATAAATCAAACTCATTATTGAATTTCAAGTTTGACATAAGACACAGAAATCCGAGAAATAGTATTAAAGAGTAATAAAAATATCTAAATCCATTATTGACCACTTTTCATTGATCACTTTGATCACAAATCACAAAAATAAACATTTTGCTAAAATCAATATTTTACATCCAAGCGTATCTACTGCAAGATTGATAAGAGCATTTAATCAAGAGTAGATTATGATTTCATTATTTCTTCTAATATCAAATTATTTCACATTTTGTTTTGAAAATCATTCACGTTCTGTGATGCGAACTTCAAAATCCGAAACTGAAATGAATATCTTAAGATTAGATCAAATTTGATCCCAACGGCAAAGCCAACGATTGTTAAAAAAGACAGAACAGAATGCAACCGAGAAAGTATCGCAGTGGCGAGTTTGTTTGAAGATGAAAGTTCAGTGAAAGTTCAAGTGAAATTTATTAATAAATTTTTTGTACTGAAAATTCGCAGAACTAAATTGTTCATCTTGAACGATAAATAGTACATTACTAAAGCAAACAAACAATAATGATCAAACATGTGTTATACAAACAACATAAAAATGAATCAACATTATCCATGCGCCTTCATCTCGATTTTATGAAAACAAAAATGAAACTCAAGCAAAAGTTGGACAAAAACGAGTCTGAAAGAGTTCTAAAACAACACCTTTCATTGTTTAATCTCCATTAATGTACACTAATCAATATGCAAGGTAAAAATCTAAGCTTAAACACTCTAATTTTGTACTGAAACAAAACCCAAAAAAGTTGAAAAAGTAATAAACTTTTCATAGGATATCAACAATATCATTAGAATACAAGAAAAGTTCTGATTTTGGGTCAATCGTTTTTTGAACATTGCATTTAAACAATGAGCAATAGTTTTGCATGAAATCGAAATAAGCAACTTATTGCTTTAGATCAAGTATTTGGCCATAATTCAATTTGAAGTTTACATTCATTCACAATTTAAAGCAATAACTGGTTCAATGTTGTAAATCGTTGCATTCACTTTCCTTTAGCAAAATGTCATCAGATTTATTCCGTTGAATTTAGGAAAAGGTGAAGTTTTCTGAAGAAATTGTTTCATCGATTGTCCTTTCTACTAAGCCTGTTGAATAGTTGAGCCCATGATTGTCAAGATTTAAATCCAAACCCTGAAAGGATCAACAACACTAAGAATTTCAAGCTTCAAAAATTGAATTATTGTTGATTTACGCCTAAGAATTTTATCCTTTTTTCGTTTACAAAGACAAAATTTCACCTTTAAATTGAAGATAAATCTGTGAATAAAATGTTAAATCATTTTTATGTATTTTCATGGAAATGCGAAAATTGCAGTTGATTCCAATTCCGAATTTTTGTTGACCAAAATTCCAGTTATTCCACTGTTACATTGAAACTGACAATTTTGAGCTTCTTCTTTCTTCACTATCTTTTCTGTCTAAATCTTGCCAAAATATGATCCTTGGATTCTTTCAATTTATTGTCAATAGATTGTCATTATTGTTATCACTATTATGCAGTACATTCCCAGGTTATTATGATATTGAATTCAAGGGAAAGAAAGGTAGTGATAAAGTGTTCATTATAATAGTGGGTTATCATCAAATGGGACTTATGAAGGCATGAAAAATGAAAAGACTTTAGTCAGACAGAAGCAGAGTGACAACCAGAAGATAAGATTAGACAGTAAAGAACGAAAGAGTCAGCAAAAGATAGACAGAAAGTGAGAGTCAAGTATACATTACAGATGAAGATAAATGCACGCAGCCTCATCTTGAAGTCTCCTTGTAATTGTATTCAATTCAGTTGAGTTCAAGTTGCCTTTTTTCTCATACAAGAAAGGTTTCTCTTTTCAGTTGAGATAAAGTTGAGCTGAGAAAGTCTCAGACTCATTCAGTGAAGGATCAACAACAAAAAAAAGAAAACTAAACAGTGAAGAAAAATATCTATTTTTTCCCTTCTTATCAATACCTTTTACCAAATAATAATCGTCATCATCAAGTCTTCCCTTTTTAAACTTTCAATTTCCATTGAATAACCATGAATTTTACATGAGCTAATTTAGAAAACTAAAATCCTTTAAGATGACTTTTTGAATGCCATGAAAGCAGCTAAAGAAGAAGAAGAAGAAGCAGAAGAAGATAAAAAGAAAGAAAGAAAAAGAAGACAAAAAAATTGTTGTCACGTTACAAGTCATGGTTTACCCTCAACAAGAGACAAAATTGTAACCTAAAGGGTTCGACCTTCTGCATCAAAATTGGGTTCGTCAAAGGCCTGATCAATGGTGAAGTTAAAGTTGAAGCTGAAGACTTGATGAAATTTATGCAAACTTGAAGCAAAGTCAACCAAGCAAAAGTTATTAAAATTTTGTGATTCCAATTGTGATTTAAATTGTGATTAATATTTATTGAAACCATTAACCATTGCAATAAAGTGGACTACACTAATGAGATCAAGATGGAGAAATCATTGGATTGTGATGAACAACAGTTGAAAAAGATTGTTGATAATTATCTTACGGATAATCCTGATTACATCAAATGTTGGCTAGCAAATAATGTTAACCTGGATCAAGCTGAGCCTTGGATAGAATCATTGAAACAGATGACAACAAAGTCTGACCAAATTGAACAGGAAAAGACTAAAGTTAAAGAAAAGGTTTACCATGAGAAACAAGACTCATTGTCATGTTTACCTTGTTCATCAACAAACTCAATGAAAACTGAATCACATCAAGCATCTTTACCATCTTCCCCATCATCATCATCATCATTATCTAAATTACAAAAGCAGCAATTACATGAAAGTTTGTTTCAAGGAAAAGGTGAAAATGAGGAAATCTCTTCAATTAGTGGAGATGAAAATGTTACCAAGTTGCCGGTTAAAGATGAAGATGATAGTTTACTTGCTGAATCTTACATTGAAATGAGTAAACATGGACGCAACTCAGTTACATCAGAATTGTTTCAAGACATTCTTGAAGGAACCCGAAAATCCCATCGACCCAGTCTAAATATAAGTGAAGGTAAGTAAAGTTATTGACTGTAAAACAGTAAATCAATGAAATGAAAGAAAAGAAGAAAAAAAATGATTTTCTTCAAGACTTGAAACCAACAACAATGGAATCAATCAATTACATGATTGATTAACTTTAAACGATAGCCAATCAATTAGAAATGATGAATTTTGGTTTCAATCAAAGCTAAAAATAAAATAAATTTCAATTTTCAATCGCAAAAGAAGAAATGATAAAATGGCGAAAAAAAAGTGAAAAACAAAACATAAGCTCACCAAACATGTGAAAACCTTCAGAGATGTTTTTAAGCTTTCAGTGATTATTTTTTATTTTTAGTATCACCATTTCATCATCATCATCACCATCATCATGCATGATGTTGACTGTTCTTGTGGAAGAAAAATCGGAGAAAGAAAGATTAGACAGAAAGGAAAAGATAAGAAACCAAAAACATTGTGATTAGTCAAGTAAATAGTTTTTCCCCTGATTTTCCTTTTACTTCATCTTTGCAAGATTATCATTGATATAACTGAACATCACATAATCAGTTGAAAGTTGAATAACAAAACAAAAAGGCTAAAGATGAAAATCGAAAGAACTTTTTTCTTCTCCATTTTACTGTTCATTTCAATGTTCAACTCTTTTCTTTCTTTTCCCTCTTCATCACTCCAACCATTGAAGATTAAGACATTCAACTTGTATAAAAACGTTATTTCATTTCACAAATCATTACTCAAGGTTATCATCTGTCAACCAGAATAATGATAACAATAATAATTTCCAGTGTTGATGATACAACTGAATAGTCTTTTTTGTGTTTCGCTCTTTGGAAGCAATGGAAAAGTGTAAAAAGAGAAAGCTTTTGCTCTGTAAACATTTTCCAAAATTCTGGTTTATCTCCATCACTCTCACCATCAACATCATCATAATCATCATCAGTCTACTTGTAATCAACTAAACTGGTGAAAGATTAAACTGCAATATTCGAGTTTATCAAGTGTCAGTTTCAACTGATTATCTTTTCTCTTTGATTGATTGATATTCACTCATTCAATTGAAACCATTTCAACTTTTCTGTTCCGTTTAATGAGACATTTGCTAATTTGTTATTTTGTATTTCAATTGATTTAATTTGCCTTTCATTTGCATTTCAATTTTTCCTCTTTTCACTCTTTTCTTTACCAAATTAACTGTAAATCAACTTTTTCATTCTTTCCTTTTTCCATTGAACCTTTTGTTTTCCAATTTCCTGAGCAACTTTATTTACCAAAATTTTGTTTCATCTTGCAATGCTTCAAAGGCATAACAATTAAACAATCATTTAAATGGTTGATTCATTGTCTGCAATCAATGAATCGTTAGCAACAAACAACAAAAATAGAGAAAAAATTTTTGATGCTTTTCCTTTCTTATAAAGTTCTTTGTTTCCAAGCCTTCAATCTAAATTGACTTTGGTAAATGGATTAAACTTGATAAAGTAATTAACTTTTGTGGATAAAAGTCTGAACAAAATGTATTGAGTTTCAGTTTCGAAGTGAAATGTTTCATCTTGACTTAACCATGAACACAAAACTGTGCAAACTGATATATTACTCTTTGGGATTTGCCATATTTTTGGGTGAAAATGTTGCACATTGAGAGAAGGAAAAATTGAAGGTTTGTTCAATGGTTAAAAGAAAACATTGAACGTTAAAAGATCGAGGCAAATGAAGGGTTGAATCTGAATGTAACTATTCATGGTGTGCAAAGGATAAGGTTAATGAGCTAATTCATGTGGAAATCAGCTTAACTAGGTTTTTGTATCTTTTAATTAGATAATCTTGCTCATCAAGAGCCCGGTTAATGTATGGGAGGCTTTGAGCTAAATTGTAAAAATAGACTTCGAAATGAGGTTTGATTTCAACGTTTAATTACATTAGCATATTATAATAGTTTAGCAACGTTAACAATTCGCTTGGGCAATTAAAAAAGTATTGCTAATTTCACTCACATTTGTGTCTCTCATTGGAATTGCAAAAAGTAATGAAAGGACAAAGAAAAAGTAAATCAATTTCAAAAATCTTTGGCTTATTTAACTGACTGATTTGTCCGTCACTTGTCAAATTTCAAAAAAACTCAATGAACGACTTTCATTGTTTTAATTTTGTGCATAACTTTTAGAGTTATTGATTTGTTTAAATAAGTCAAGAATAAATTCATCAATTATCTTGCAATGTTTCTCAAATTCTTAGAGGATTTCCTTTGCTATTCAACAAGCGGGGTCACCGATCATGACTGATCGTTAAGCTCTATTTACTGAGTAGACTACAATCAATCCACATTAGAAAGACACAAATTAATGAAGAAACGATCATTCGAATGAGAAAAGCAAAAAAATCTTTAAATCTTGTCGAATCGAAAAGATTTATTTTGCAATGAGATAAAGCTTTTCGTAGGAATGCATGGCAAAAGTTTCTATTTTTAAGAGCTCAAACTTTATGAGTTCGTAGGGGCATAAAAAATGAGATCATTTGTTCAGTTAATAAATTTCTCTGGTCGACAATTTTCGAGAAATTGAGTTCAAAGTTGAAACGTCAACCTTCTCTAGCATAGTTGTGCTCTCAAATCAGCACAGGCAAATTATATGCACACTGACTGATCGAGCAAGGTAGATGAGCTTTTCATTAGGCTTGAGACTGTTCCATGAAATTGGACTCCAAAGTCTGATTCGTAAAGTTGAATTCAGCCGAATCGCAAGTCTAAAAAGTCGTAGAACAATGAAATCCGATTATATTTTCTTTTGAATATTTTTGTTGAAACAATCATAAATATGCAAAGACCGATATTTCATTTTGCATAACATTCAATTATTTTGTTCATGAATTTGTCTCTTCCATTTCCTGGTTTTACATATTTTTAAAACGCTATCCTGTGGAGCATTAGAATTGACAAAAAAGCAAAATTCAATATTAGCATGATAATGAGAGTGAATTATGCAAACCAACTAATTGATAAACAATAGAGTAAGCATTCAGTTAATCATGCGATTAAATAGAAATGATAATTTAAATAAAAAAGGACACCACAAATTACCATGAAAAGATGAAAGGAGAAAGAAAACAAACATTATTACATTCCATTAAAGTCTAACTTTTGATAGTTTTTATCAACTTTTGTAAAATTGTTGAATCAATTTCACTGATGTTCAACCATTATCACCTCATGTTGAGTTACCAGGAAAAAGAAGGAAACGAAAAGATTTGCAATCGATTCTGGTTTACTGGTTAGTCTGACAACAAATTTTGATAACAAAATTCCATGATAATAGGAACCAAGAAAAAGTCTCTCGAGGTTACCAAATGGAGGTACATTTATAGCTTACTTTTATGAGGGTAACATGAGTTTCGGACAGATTGTTGAACAAGGAATGAAGATGAAGCAAAATGCAAGTTACATTAAAACTGAAACAATTCCCACTGGGAGTGGAAATGGTTTTCTCCAGAAATTCTGTCTCATCCTATTCTGAACAGCTCTTCATGACTTTATCTTTCCTTATTATCATCATTCCACCATTCTTATCATTTATATCTTCACTTGGCTTCCATTATGTTATTTACACTCCCAGTTATATTCTCATTATTATCATTATTCGTGCTTTTCTTTGTTGGCAATCATTTTTGTCATTCTCATATTTTCCTTCCCTTTCTTCATACACCACTCGACTGTACATTAAATTTCATTTCATGAGAAGAAGAAAAAATGTTGAAATCACTTGAAATGCTAATCAGTTTCATGAGATTATAATCTCAGTTTTCAGTACTTTTTTTGTTCAACTTTGAATATTTTATTTTTTCGCCTTTTCTATGCATTTCAAGGAGAATCAATTTTTCCATTGATAATGAAATTTATCTTCTTTTATTCATCTTGTTGAATGCATTGTTTGAAGGATGGAAACTTTATTCTGATGAGAATTCAATTTATCATTAAACTTTTTCTTCTCTACTCTTTGGTTATCGAGTTAACCGTAAATTAATGTTGACTTTTTTGCTCATTTTCACTTTTCTTTCTTTCCTTCTTCTAGCTGATCAATTATCTCGCAATGAATTACGTGAACAGCTGAGAAATTTATCGGAAGAAGATTTATTAATGGAATTGATTCGTGACATTTCAAATGAATTGGACATCAATACACTTTGCCACAAAATTTTAGTCAATGTTTGCATTCTCATCAATTCTGATCGAGGCAGTCTATTCTTGGCCCGAGGAAGCCGCGAGAAACGTTATCTTGTGCCAAAACTTTTCGATGTAACTCCAAGTTCAATACTAGAAGATGCTCTTCAAGCAGCCGAACAGTATTCAAAGATATCACCCATTCCTTTTGGTCTCGGAATCGCAGGTTATGTGGCTCAACACAAGACCTTTATCAACCTTAAAAACGCATATGAGGTAAGCGAGTCAAGAAACGAAATCGCAACGAAATTTCAAGCTAAAACTATTTTCTTCGATAAAACTCGCCGATAGCTTCATCGAGTTCTTGGGAAGATATTCATTTATATTAAATTCTGTGAATGAAGAAAAGCATAATGTAATAACTGATATTGATTGCAGAGATAGAATGCAGTTTAATTACGTTGATATTTCATATAAAGAGTTTCATCTAATAAAACAGAGTTAATTGATAATGGCTCATTCAGAATGCGCAGACAATATTCATTACATTATTCACTAATTCAACTCTTATGATAATAAATAAACTCGACCTTTAACCTTTAACATTTTATTGTTATTAATAAATTCCACGTCAATATCTCATAACATTTTGTTTCATTAAACATGAAATTCATCCCAGCAATTATAATTATTATTCACTCCCAGTCAAATTTGTAATAATATTGTCAGCTATATTTTGTCTCACCAGGAAAAAGCTAATGAGAAAAAAGGACAAAAACAACTTGCAAATACAAGCATGATAAAGTTGATTTTACTCTGAAATGAAAACATTATCCAAACAGGGAATGATAAATTTGACGTAACAAGGATGCAACTCGATTGACTTTTTGTCTTTATGCTTTAGCCTCGAACCTTGCTATCTATTTTAGTTTAACATTTTCCTAAGGCAATTTTGTCTCTTGATTTATCTATCAAACTAGTTTAAATTGTTTCTATTTGAAACTTTGATGAAAAATGAGAAAACTGAGAATTCCATTTTTAACGAAAAAAAAATTGCAACGAAATTTTCGTAGCGTATCGCTAACGACCCTTTTATCAGCCAATTATTAAGCTTTAATTGTGGCAATAAAGATACACAAGATAGCATTTAAAGACAAGATACATTAAATGATGTAAATTAATGTAGATTCCAGGCAAAGAATAATTTTGTTGGTTATTTTTATTGATGAAACCATCAAGACTGGGAGTGAAAAGTTATTACATTTACACATTTACTGTGGATGTTGAAATGAAATTTAGTCATTTTGTTGGATTCAAAGAACCATGAAAACGAAGAGAAAATGTAATTCTACAAAATTGTTTAAAGAAATGCGTAAAACTATTTGACTTTGACTATTTATCTTTTTCTCTTCACTCCCAGTATTTACATTAACATTATTATAAGAGTAGCATTCCCTTGTCGTTGAACAAAACTGTAGTCTTTTCCTTCTGACAATGAAAATAAAAGACAATTTCAATCAATTTGATTGCTACAAAATTTTTCCTGCAAAACTATTCCTTAACTGGGAGTGAAAATTATTTGTCTTTTTTCATCAACATTTTGCCAAAGTCCATTTAAAATCATTGGGAGGAAACGAGTAAATTGCAGCTTTGATTGTCTCTAGTCAAAGGCTTGCATAATTTACTGTTCATTTCCAGTTCAACTTCCAACTTTTTTTTCTGGGTTCGTTGGATTTCAAGCCTGCAGAATTGAAATTATCTGCTCATTATTAGAACTTTTCCTTTGTCTTTCCAATTACTCTTTTCATTCTTTTGAAACTCTTTGTTTATCCTTTGTTCTGGACAACTGAAATGTTCTCTTAAATTCTGTTGAACATTATTATTATCGAATCAATATTAGTGACATTTTCATTAGTTAACAAGGAATTGGTGAGACACACAAAAGAAGCTTGGAAATGAAAGTTTGAAGTAAAGCAAAATGTCATATTCAACCTTATTTTGTTGAACAAAATTCTTATCCAATTTTTTCTTTTCCTTTTCTTTTTGTTTCGTTCAACCACAATCATGATGATCATCTTTTCTTCCAGAATCATTACATTTACAGAATGAAATGCTCATTAATTTTACTCGATAAATCTTTTTGTCGAGGAATTTATCCAATCAAATTGATTTTCTGAAAACTCATTTCTCATTTCATTATCAACGTCAAACTTAATAATTATATTCATCAGAGAGTTTTAATGGAAGTAAAAAGAGTAATGATGTGATAAAAAGAAGAATGAATTTCAATTTACGTCAAAAATTTTGACTTCCATCAATTAATGAGTTTATGTTTTTACACTCAACAGCAATCACATCAGGTGCATGCAAGTGTTCAGTTGGACAATGAAGTTTACTTCACTAAACCAATAAACATTTGGTCGAGTTTAATCAATGTTTACATGAATTTGTCATGCAACCAATTGAGCGATCGTAAAACATTTCCATGCAATCATTCATAATTATGCAACATTGGTTTATAAATTAAATGAACAAAACTGTCATTTCAATGTTCATTACAATCAAATCGTTGATTTCCTTAAGTATCGAAATTCATCAAAGAACTTTTCTCCAACTTGAACTAGCAAAACGATGGAAATCAACTTATAATGCTAATCTGTAGAAGTATTTGCATGAAGAAGATTCTGTAAAATTGAAAACAATTAATCAAATTACCTTTTTTGTTATCAGAATGCAAAAGATTTGGAAAGTTCTTTTGTTAAACAGAAATATTCCAAGCTCATCATTTTGCTAATTTTTTATTTTCAACTTGTTCGTTAGTAACTCATTGGAAGTTTGATTAAGCTTAACAATTTACTGATGAAATTCAAAAAAAAATTTCTTTTCTTTTCACGTTGCTTCAAGTTCACGTCAATTAGTTTCGATTAGAACACAGTTTTGATTAATGAGAAAACTTTTGATGGATTTTTGTTCCTTTAGTTTGTTTCTTTTCAATTTGACATTCAAGTCATTTTATGCACAAATAATGTTGTAAAGCTTGTAATAATCTTGTATCCAAAGCATAAAAGAATCAAATTCAACATGGAACATTTCATGACAAAGATTGGATTTTTATCACGATCAAGTCTGTCTAAGTGAATAAAATTAATCTGTAGCAATAAAAACTAAAGTCAAAAAGGTTGACAAGGATGAATTGGAAGGAAAGTTTATCCAAAAAAGTTACATTTTTCGATCTCGACTTGTATTCAAATGTTTTTCTTTCTTTTTTCAATTTCGATTGCTCAAAAAATTGAAGGTTGAAGGAAACAAGTTTCACCGAGAAAAGAACAACATGAAAATCTTTTTCAATTTTCATGATTACCATTTATTAACCTCATGGGACAAAATTTTATTACACGATTTTGTTGTACATTTTGGTTGAAATGGTTGAGTAAACATGGCGGAGGAAGAAAATAAAGAATCAATTTTAATTAACTTTTACTCTCGTCACCATCAGGCAGAGTCTCATGTTAATCTGATTGTTTCAATATCATCAAATTTACCAGAATCTTAAGTAGATTACATTTGCTACTTTCAATCAACTTGAGAAGAAACGAAAGGCTGAAAATAACAAAAGATTTACATTTTTCATGGATTCAACTCATTACCTAATGCTTTCCAAAATTGACTTTGATCAATGAGTTTCTGCAATAATGCAAGCCAAAAAGCTCTACAGGTTAAAATTCATTGTCAATCGAGTTGGTGCAATGATCAGGCTCTGTGAACTCAGTCTGTTCGACGTTAAATTTCAGAATCTCAGAGAATTTCAATTTTCCAAGGAAAATTTTGTGTAGAGTTCAGTTTATGAAGAATTTTATTTGAATGAAAAATAGAAAAAATATTCTTCTGAAACATTTATTGTCAACTGCGTTAAAAGGTCCTTTGAGTAGTCGTTGAGTGTGACAATTTATTCATTATAGTCTTCTTGAGGTTCAGTTATGTCTCAGCTGGGTTTTACATTTGTCACTTGCACTTTCGTCATTTCTCTTTCGTTTTCAAAACTTGACCTTAATTCGGCCCTAAAATAGAAGTAAATGATCAGCTTCTAAGGTTGTAAGTGACCAATATCATTCTCATGGCTTGAGGTACTTGAAGTGCTTCGACTATGAAAAATATGAAGTATGCTTATGAAGTTAGGAATAACATTCGTTTTGTTTGCTTTTTGGTGTAATGTTTCAGTCATTTTCAGCTCATTAAAATGGTCTGATCAGATTTAAAATTGCAATAGAAATTGAGGTAAAATTTCATCAGAAATGTTTTTCTCTGATTTCTATCCATTTATCACAGAATTCCCAAAATCAAATCGTTAGGTAACTTTCATTGTAAGTGCTCATCTAATTCATCTTATGCAAGTTCCTTTTACATTTCTAGTTCATTTTGTGGTGTCTTGAAATGTATTGACTTGAATTTATTTAGAGTTTTGTTTGCATTTTGTTTCGCGAAATTGAGCTATTAAAACATTTACTTCTCTAGTCTTGAGGTATCAAATTCAAGTTGGTAAAAATGTTTCACTTTGTTGTTCCATTTTTGTTTATCGATTGACGTGAAATGAATGTTAAATGAGCAAAACTTTGATGAGAATGAAGTATACAATTTTGCAGGGAAAAACTACAAGAGAGAAAATATTTTTTTCTCTTTTCTAATCTGATCAGAATTCAGAATTTGTTTCTGCCAATATCACATCAATTGTAGAGGGAAAAAATTGTATTTTCATTTGTACCATGAAAGAATTGAGAAGGAAGTTATATCAACATAACATGAATGAGAAGGAAAAAAAGTAAAAAATTATTCAACTGTTCTTTGTGTTCATGAATCATGATGCAAAAAGAGAAATGGAACAAACAAAATGGGATGAAAGAGTTCAATATTTTTTGTAGATTTCAAGCGAATTTTGTTGAAGAAAATCTTTTTTCAGAACAAAAAATTTGTACACTTTTTTGCAATGTTGTTATTTCGTTGCTTCTTTTTTCTCAAAAAAAGATGATTCAAACAATTGTCAACTTGTGAAAATGAAAACCTTTCCTCAATATCCAGGATCATCGATTCAATAAAGAGGTTGACTCTGTTACTGGCTATCGAACCAAATCAATCCTTTGTTTGCCCATTCTCAATGGACGTGGAGATGTAATTGGAGTCGCACAATGTATCAATAAGTTGCCCGATGGATCAGGTTTCAGTCAACAGGACGTTGAGGTAATGTGATTAGTCAATGGTGACATTTTATTGTTCAACTTTTAAAGTCAAATAAAGATGCTTGGATAAGAGATGAGAAATCGTTACACCTTTCCTTTCAGTTTTTCATGGAAAGAATATTATTTCAATAAATAGAAGTCTATTCTTTAACAGGCAAAAATCTAGACAAAAGTTCCGACTGAATGGCTAATGCAAAAGTAAAACCAGTTCCAGAAAATCTTGTTACAGAAGCCCATACAAAATATTAGTAAACAGTCAAACTGTTGGCATGAAGCTTGATCATTTAATTTGCCAAGTCGAACTCTTTGCTACGAATTTTCAATCAAACTTTCTTTTGCGTTTTTGTTTTATTTCTAAAATTTTTTTGACTTATGATCATAATCTGTTTGTAAGGTTAACGATTACCGTTTAAAACGTTTAGCTCTCGATTTTCAGACTGGCAACATTGCGAATCGATATCGATAGCTCTGAGTCAAATTTTACGTTTTCTAGAATTTACATGGAATCCGAAATTTATTAAAGGAACTTGCAAAGTTTTCCTAAGCAGATGTCCTCAAATTAGATTTTCTTATTAAGCATAAAAGTTCATGATATTATAGCAATATGTCAAAAGTGAAAAGCACTTAATTTGATTAAACCGTTGAACTCATTGCTTACAAACATTTAGAACTATTTTACAGTATAAAAATCGAACAGAAAAACGTTCAATTGTATTCATTGTTGCTCTGCTTCAAGTCTTTACCAGAACAATCTGAAAATCTGTTTGTTATCGCTGATGAATTGAAAAGTAAACTAAATTTTGATTATTTTTTCCATTTCATTGTAGGATTTTAAAAAATATTTAACCTTTTGTGGCATTGGAATTCAAAATGCTCAACTGTTTGAACTGTCAGTTCAGGAGTATAAACGGAATCAGGTAAGGAATTGAGTTAAATTCATCAACAAAATCATCCAAACATCACATTCGTTTTCCTTATATTTTGTTACAGTTGCTGTTAAGTTTAGCTCGGTCTATTTTTGAGGAAAACTCAAGTCTTGAAACTTTGATAAATAAAATAATGATCCAAGCTCAAGGTTTACTTCCATGTGAAAGGTCGAGAGTTTACCTAATCGACATAGACTCTCAAGATGAAAAGGTAAGAAATCGTTTTTAACCTTTCAATCTCATTAATCTATTCAATCATTTTATTTTTTCAAACAGAATCAAAATTTTAGTTCAATATTTGAATCGCAATCTGGAGAGGAAAATGCAACCAAGTTAATGTAATTAAATTACCATTTAATTAGAATTTGATTTATTCATTAAACATTTTTTTCTTCTTCTTTTCCATGAAAGGTACAATGAAACCAACAATTCATTTCGTAGTCATGACATTTACGGAAAACTTGCACACAATGTTTTACTTTCTGGTCAGGTAAGTCGAAATTTTGAGCACTTTTTGTTCTCATTTACTTTGTCTCTTTGTTACGAAATCCATGAAGAAAAATATCCATCTGAATATCAAATATTTTTGAAAAGATATTTCAATCAGTAAAGGTATCTAAATGTTTACTTATTCATTGATTTCGTCAGGAAATGTTAAGGTTGAACAGATAATTGTGTCTCTATTCTTGTTGTAATGTTCAGCATTTCATTTTGATATTTATAATATAAATCAAGTAAAAAGAGAATATTGATATTCTAGTTTGACTGGAATTTTCAATTTCCATTATTTCCATTCAGTCACAAAGATTCAGATAATGTTGATAATAGAGAGTGGAAAAGGAAGCAAACTAAAGTAAAAGAATCGGAAAAGTCATATTTTATTATTCAATTGATTCCTGTTTCAATTTTTTCTGCTCTCATTTTTTACATTTTTATTCTGAATTGTTCAAATTTTTGTGCCAGTCTATTGAGTGAATAACTTTCAAATAACAGTTAAAATAATGAAATCTTATTTACATTTTAGACTTCAAATCGTAATTGCATCAAAAACTGTGATGATTACATGGAAATTGATTCATTGGATGGTGCTTTCATCACCCAGGTATGTATTTATACCTCAAGGATATGAAGCAAACTAGTGAACTCTCTCCATGAAATTAAACTTTGTAATAAAATATGAAGAGGCAAAAAATGAAGGAAGAATAAAATTGAGATTCTTTGACTTGGATTGCATTTGGAGGTCCAATAATGCGATACATTGTGAAGTTTTAATCAATAGATTTCACTTCCAAATGCTTATTTCTCAGTAAATCGATTCTTAAGATCATTCGCCAATGAAAGCGCAGCTTTGTATAGCAAAATTGGGGCAAGAGTCGCATGACCGTTCAATACCGAATAAATTCCTTCAACGGTCAGGGTTGTTGATGAAGCTCAGCGTTGTAAATGTTTTGCTTCCAAGCTGCGTCCAAGCTTTTGCTTATTCATTTTAAAGAACATTTGTCTCACATTGATGCAAAATATGGAGAAAATGATAATCCTTTATGACAAATGAAACTAATTTTTCGTCAATCCCAAGATGAATTTTCTAACAATTTTTTGTTTTTTCCATTCCATTTGTCGAGCAGCAATTTAGAGGAGCCAAATCAATACTCTCAATACCAATATTAAACTGCAATGGAATCGTGATTGGAGTTGCCCAAATGATTAACAAAACCAACGGCGATTTATTTAGTGATGTAGACATTTCCACTTTAGAGGTTTGTTTTAAAGCCTTTATGGCTAACCAAGATTTAATCAATAACTAATCCTCTAATCCGAACAACTTGCTCGGAATTTTAATCAATTTCTATCAGGCTTTCTCGATATTCTGTGGTCTGGGAATTCACAAGACTCAAATGTATGAAAAGGCAGTCAAATTGATGGCCAAACAAAAAGTTGCTCTTGAAGTGCTATCCTATCATGCATCATCGACAATTGAAGAAGCAGCCAATTTGATTGTAAGTCAAAGTGGCCTTTTCATCTCTTTTAATTCTCGTAACTGTTATGTTTCATTTCATACAACTTCACCCTTTGTTGTCCAATTTCTTAAATTGAATCAAATTTTCGTTTTCCCTTCTCTCATGATGTCTTAAATCATCAGGACATGAAAGTTGAAAGTGTTGAATATTATGGATTAATGAGCTTTGATTTTAATGATTTTAATTTATCTGAAATGGACACTTGCCTGGCAACACTTAGAATATTCATGGAACTCACTTTGATTAACCGTTTTCACATTCCATACAAGGTAAACCTTTCAATGAGATCTTCTTGTGTCCATTTTAACCTCGACTAAATTTCCAATTTAGGTACTTTGTCGTTGGCTGTTGAGTGTTAAGAAAAATTACCGTCCAGTTATTTACCACAATTGGAGGCATTCATTCAATGTGACACAAACCATGTTTGCCATTTTAACGGTAAGAATCGTTGACCTTATTTAGCTCAACAAAGTTACTTACGATTGTTTGCTGCTTTATATGCAGATTGGAGGAATGTCCAAGATTATGAGTGAACTTGATAGTTTAGCACTGATTGTTGCCTGTTTATGCCATGACTTAGATCATCGAGGAACCAACAACTCATTTCAATCAAAGTAAACATCTTTTTACTTGTTAACTCTAATGAACTAATTTAAATTACATTCTTAATCATTACCTAGAATTGACTCTCCATTGGCAACTTTATACAGCACATCAACGATGGAGCATCATCACTTTGATCAGTGTATAATGATACTTAATAGTGAGGTAAGAAGATTGAAGGTTACTGTCGACGGAAGAAAAATTTTGACTCATTTTCTCTCTTTTTTGAAGGGTAATAACATTTTACAAGAGTTGTCACCTGAAGAGTATAAGTCAGTGATAAACATGATTGAATCTTGCATCTTGTCAACAGATTTGGCTCAATATTTCAAGTAAGATTAACTTTTGTTACATTGACTTATAAAACTTGAAATGTGACGACTTTAAACTAATCTTTTGTCATTAAAACAGCAAGAGAAGTAAATTTCAAGAGTTGATTTCCAGTGGCAACACTGACTGGACTGGAAGCAATAAAATGATACTTGCAGGTATGCTTATGACGGCATGTGATGTATCAGCTATATGCAAACCTTGGTCAATTCAAAAGCGAATAGCTCAACTCGTTGCTGATGAATTTTTTCAACAAGGCGACTTGGAAAAGACTCAACTCAACTCACAGCCTGTACCGATGATGGACAGGGACAGACAACATGAGTTTCCAGTTATGCAAGTAACATTCATCGACACAATTTGTCTTCCCATTTATCAGGTTTGCTAATTTAAATTATTTTAAATTCCAATAATTTCCAACAGATTATAACTGATTTCATGTTCTTTTCTTTTCATCTAAATCCAACCTTTTTGCTCAGCTTTTGAGCGACTTTTGGCCCTCCCTGGAACCACTTTATAAAGGATGTTTAGATAATCGCTCAAAATGGATGGATATTCAATCGTCTGATGATTTGGACGAAGAAGCTTGACAACTTGTCATTGTTTCAAATGGCACCAGTTTCCATTGAGATGACCAAAAAGATATTCTTGTCTCACATGATAGATTTTTATTGCACCAGATGATAATAATGTCTTTGTTATACACTTGTTTCTCCAGAATGATAATATTAATTTATCCAATAAACTGTTGAATCTTTGAATTTAATCAATTTTATAATATTTACATTTGATATTAACAAATATCCAGTCTTTTAACTGCTTTGGAGAGGACAGAAAATTCGTCAATATTTTCAGACAGGTTTTTACTTACACTTCACAAGCGACTCTGAACGCAATTTGCAATCTCCAACTGCTCTATCACTGTGCCTGATTTCGACCTTAAAGACCTCTACTTTACTTAATTTTTGCAAAAATCATTATAAAAGAGAAAAACTGTTTAGAAAGTGAGATCAAAATTTTTTTTGTGATATTTCGGAAATTTTCAGAAGCGTATCGATATTTGTAATATAAAGAACTAGAACTTTAATACCGGAGGTGTTTAATGTGATCTACTAAAATTTGAGTCAGTTCTAACCTAGTCTTCATAGCAAATCAATGAATACATTTGGCATGCTAATGTTTAATATCACCTTCTTTTGAATGGCCATATCAAGTTCTTGACTCAAAATGGGCTATTATCATTCTCCTTTCAATCTTCATGTGGAAGCTTTATTGAACAATCCAGCAATTTAGATACGTCAATAGCTAATAGCCTTGATAAGAATATCGACCAGTAGAGTGCACCACCTAACTCGCCTGAAACTTTCAAATAATATTGTAATAAACTAACAAGTAACTTGTAGGTTGTGGAATGATTAATTAGCTTAGTTATGGATCAATAGAGGGCAGTAAAATTGAGAAGTTAAAAGTTGGTTTTTGTTTCGATAACTATTTATATCTTTGATTAATCAAGATATTTAATCTAGATGTGAGTTGCTACCATGAACAAATAGACCAATAAAGCAGTCAGTAGTACAAAAAGACTTATTTCATCAAAATTTTAGCTGAATGAAAGAAATGAGAAGCTAATTTTTTATAACTCTACATGTCTTAATATCTATTAATAGATAGGCTCTTCGAGCATACAAAGTTGATCAGAATCAATCGAAATGCAATTGGCAAGAAAGTTTAGATTAACACGCTGAATTGAGAGCATCACAAATACGAGTTTTTGTTAGAACTGAGAGAAAAAAGATAAGCCACCAGATAATGAAAATGCCTTGAAATAGCTTATTTTCACTATTCGCTTGACGAATTATTTGCATGATTATTCATTTCCGCAAATGAATCAAGTTCAAGCTAAATTTTTCCGACTGATTTCTTGAGTTTTCCACACCATTTGTTGAAATAAACATCAGATCTAGTAAATAATCAAACCATTTAATTAAATCCAAATGTGATTTGACTTTGCTTTAGTTAATAACTATTGAAAAAGAATGTAATCATCTAATATCTTAATGTAATATGAAAGATGGTCATCATATTTAAAAACAATTTTTTCTCATTCATTTGCATAAAAGGAATTAGTTTAATCATTTCTTTGTTTGTAATTTTCGATACATTGAGATGAAGAGCAAACAATTATTCCGTTTCAAACTCCACCATATTTACTTGTTCATTATGAAGCAGGTTCATCAGGCAAACACGTACCCATTTTCGTTTTGGGAGAAACTAAACCGCGATAAAAAAATATAAAACATAAAAAATGTCAATATGTGTTATTAATAACGTATGGATGATAAAAATGAGACAAAAATTCAATGGCTTTAGCATTTAAACTACTTGAGCTTTTTTTTAAACTCTTTGAAGCATCGACTTTGAAGAATAGACTATTTGAAGCATCGAGATCAGTTTAGGAAAGAAAAAAAGGTCGATTTTGCAAAGTCTCGATCATGGCGAAGCTGAATCAAAAAGAAATTTATAATATTTGTGCCAAAGTGTACCAAAAAAATTCTGAAATTTTGAAAAAAAGTGAATTAATAAAGAAATTCATCGATCTTGGAGTGAGTTGAGCTACTGCATATCGTATGTACAGCAAATTAGAGTCAGAATCAAGTGAAATACGGAAAGAAGGGTCAGGATCAAGTGCATCAAAAATAAATAATTCAACGATTGGAAAAATTAAGAGGGCAACCATCAATAAAGTTTTTCCTGGTTATCGCTCGATTGGCCGTAAATTAATGTCCATCATTCTACTGCGAAAAGGTACATAGAGAAGCTCGATATTAATGTGAAAAAAAGAAAAAAAGGCCAAAAGTTACGCAAGATCAGGAGAAACGTCAAAAAACTAGAGTTCGTAAGTTACGATACGCAATCAAAGATAAAGAAGTTATCATGGATGACGAATCTTATTTTGATTTGGAAGGATTCAATGTTTATGGCTCAGACCGATTTTCATTTCAATCGTTGGACAATGTTCCTAATTCAATTAAATTCAAAGATAAATCAAAATTTAGCCCAAAACTTTTGGTATGGATTGCAATTGGAAAAAGAGGTCATTGTAAGCCTTATTTTCATGTAACTAAAGGAGCCGTTAATAGTGATATCTACTCTGGTGAATGTTTAACGAAGAGACTTATTGCTTGGTTATCTAAGACTTATCCTGATGTTGATACAATCTTTTGGCCTGATTTAGCATCATGTCATTACAGCCGAAAATCATTGGAAACACTAGAGGGCGCTAACATCGAATACGTAAAAAAGTTGAACAATCCGTCAAATGTCTCACAACTAAGACCAATCGAGGACTTTTGGGCAAACCTTAAGTGCAAAGTGTTTTCTAATGGCTTCATCTCTAAATCAAAGTGTCAGCTCATAAAAAGAATTAAAGATCAACTCAAAACATTTGATCAAAAATATTATGATAACTTATTGTGTAACTTGAATTCCAAGATTATAAGAGCCGATAGAAATGGCTGTGACTCATTGGTACATTGATATTACTCCTGACCTCAATCAAGCAAATTTTCATTTGAATTGGAGTTGAATTAATAAAGTTATTGAGCATCTACTTTTGTCTCATTTTTATCATCCATACGTTAATAATGGTCAAATAGTATTTCTTTAAATATAAATATCGGCAATTGAAAAACTGAATATCTGAAATATGAAATAATAAACTTAAGATACTCACTCCCAACACATTGTTGAAAGGCTGCTGGGCAACGTTCAATTTCAGAGCACTGTATCTGCAAAGATGGACAAATCTGTGAAAAAGTAAAATTGAGTCAAAGTTAAACAAGTGTCTTTCTTCATCAATATGTGAGTGGAATTTGCTTCTTTTAGACTTGACAATAAGAATCAAACTATAAAATTCGAATATTATACTCACGAGAATGCTCAAGAGGGACAAGATGAAATATAAAGAAATGAACTTCATTTTTTCACGCTTTATAGATAGATGATTAACTGTATTACAGTAAAAATATTGAGAACTGATGAACTTATGATTCGAAAGAAGCTTTATATACCTAAATTTATACATTTAACACTGACGATTGATTCACTAGTAGACTTTTCTTGATATCATGTGTGTAAATATAATTTTGATCATTAGCAATTTAGTATCTGTCTGAAAAAGCTTCATAAGCTTAGTATAAACTAGTAGTCAATAAAGACTTTCTTCAGTTTACATCTGTCAAGAAATGAAAACATAGTTACATGCCAAATTTATTTAATCTGATCAATTGAATCACGGATACGGAAATTGTATTATATTTGAAGGTAATTCATGAATTATACACATTATTACACATGATTCGTATCAGATAATTTATTCATCTATCCATTGTTTACACAGATCAAAGTTATGACTCAAGCTAGAAATTGAAAAATTCATGAATCAATAGACAGTCTGATCTTTGTATCTTTTTCATTGCACAGATGTTTGTAATTCTACTTGTAACCGTGAAAATGCAAAATTTTGTTCCTCAACACAAAATCCAAATATCAATTATATTAATAAGTTTTCACCTAAAACCTGAATTCATTTCAAGAAATAATTTTGAATCTTCATATTGTTCGTTGAATAAAATTTCTCGGAAAGCCGGAATTACTCTCCATATCTAGTTTAATGCTGTATAATTTATTCAACCACTAATCAATCTATTTTTTCAGTTGTCCTTACAACTATTTGAGTCAGAATAGCGCAAAAACTGGTAAACAACCAACGTGCACAAATGTCAAATTGAACCAATTATAATAAAATAGCTATTAAAGGTTCCGTTTCCGAACCAAGGAAATAGATTCAAAGTATTGAGGACAAAATAAATTTACTTTGCATACTTGCTTTTCTAGTCAACGATTTCTCTCTTTTAACTTAAACAAAGCATCATCACCATTCCCATATCATGAATAACAAAAATCTTTAAATTCATGATTCAACAAGGGATCAAGAAGCGAGGGTTCAAGTTTTTTTATTAAAATCATTGGCCTAACAAACTTTTCTCTCACCACATATATTGCAAGACTTCAATCCCTTGTATCATGTGACTATTCATGTCAAATTCAAAGCCTCGAAAGTTTTTCATCTAAATGTCGTTTTCTCTTACACTTCATAAGCGACTCTGAACAGGATTTTCATTGTCTGATTCCAAATACTCGATCAAATACCTTATCTCAAACTTAAAGGCGATTTATTTAGTGATGTAACCTGTGCGGACATGTTTTGGTACAAGCCAATACATCTTTTTTCTCAGAAACTATATGTTCAATAGACTTGAAATTTTCATGAAAGGATCATAATGGGAATATATCTATTTAACCAAATTTCAGAAAGATAGCTTGATTAGTTCATTAGATTTCTCATTAATTGAGTGCGTTCTAAACTGCTCAAATGCTTCAATTTTGAAATTAACTTTTCCATGCGTCAGTTTTAAAGTCATTTAATTCTTATTGTGCCCATGAACTTCTTTCTACTTGATTAGTTCCAATTTAGGGCTGATGAGCATAAAAAATTCGAATTTTCATAAAAATAAAAAATGTAAATTAACGCAGTTTTGAAACTTAAATGTCAATAACTCAAGCAGCGTTCATCACAGAGTGTCGAAACTTGATCAGGAAGATTTTTAGTCTTCGAAAATGATGTCCGGCCCTAAGAATGACCTCAAACATGAGCAGCAGCGATTTCCGAAAAATGACCTTGAATGACCTTGTCCTTGAAACATAAAAAATGAATGTCCCCCAAACTCACTGCATTCGATTCCCAGGTCAAAGGTATGTCTGGTTGCAAAGTTATTGGCGTTCAACATCTTACTAAGTAGCTGAATAGCCCTGTATTTAGACATTTTGTGATCACCTGAGGTCCAACGTATATGCTGGTAATTTTTGGGACTAAAAACACATCACAATCAATTAATACAAGCAAATTAGTCCGGCAACTCTTTGAAAAAATGTTTAAAGCTCAAATTTTGGAAGACTATGAAAAAAGTAGAATGAAGAGTTAATCTTGCCTCTGAGGGTGGATTAAAGAACTCGGACATAAAGTACTGATTTTAAGCTTTTGAATGATGTATAAAATGCATAAAAATTGCTATCGCTTAATTGTGAAATTTAATTTTAACAATGTGTACCATAATATGTCCGCACAGGTTAGACATTTCCACTTACAAGGTCTGTTAAAAGGTTTGTTTTAAAGTCTTTATGGCTAACCAAGATTTGACCAATAACTAAACCTGTAGTCCAAATAATTTGCTCTGAATTTTAATAAATTTCCATTAGGCTCAAAATTCGAAACTTTTTGCAACTTTGACGGTTTGCCGAAAAAACAGCCTTTTATTTTATGGTTACCAAAAGTAGGCAAAACAAAATTTAATATTGTTATCAATCGTAGTGAAAATGATAAAAATAGGCTGAACGGTTACTGAGCTGTGAGTCTTCAAAAGTTCAAACTATTGACTGGAAAATCTAGTCCGTTACCTTATAATACATTATTATACATGTATCGATATTATTACTTACTTTTCTAGTCAACAGTTTTTTCTATTAATATGTGGATCTACACGAATGCCAAATAATTTTATTTGCTTTTTTTGCACGTTCCGATGTTGGTGAGTGGGAGTCTGAACTAGTTATGAAGGACGAAAAAGTAAATGTTTTCGTGGAAGTTGAATTTATTTGCAAAGGATAAAGACCATTTTCGCCTAAAATTTAGAATTTTATGAGAATAATAATTCAAATGTATTTTTACGTGAAAAGACCGACTCTAAAACTCATTTTTTTCTGCGGTCAATAGTTTTCATGAAAATGGCCTTTAAATCTGCACCACGAGCAAATGCCCTTTTGACATATTTTCTAGAGTATATTCATGATGATAAATCTATTTTTTTCTGCGACCTATACTTTTCGAGATAATGATATTTGAATTTCAACCTTTGCAAAACCTGATTTTACATATTTTATAGCATATTTTTATGCTTAAAAATCCATGAATTGAATTCATTTTATTCTGTGGCACATACTTTTTGAGATAATGGCCTTTGGATTTCAATCTTAGCTAAAAGAGAAATCGATTATTGCATTTAAACATATTTGTGATGAGAGAAACAAATGACAAACGATTTGATTGGGAACTTCGGTTAAAACAACTCACACCACGTGAAGGTAGTTCCTTTTGTGAGTCTTGGGTATTTTTTATACTGGTTACCCTCGCCTCCAGTTTGGAAAAGGACTATGGAAATCCTAATTTTTGATGTTAAACATTTAAATAAAAAAAACTTATCTTATCTCGGATGAGAAGCAGATAACAGAGAATGTAAATGAGAAACAGCAATAACCTGGAATAGAATCACGATCTACCCAAATATATGTGGACAGAATGTTATATATGAAATCTCCATTAAAAAAAGTATCGAAAAAATCTTATCTTATCTCGGATAAGAAACAGATAATAGAGTTGTGAATAATAAAGTGGCTTAAACTGGAATAGAATCATGATCTACCCAAATATATTTAGGCTGAATGGGATATATGAAATCTCCATTAAAAAATACACCTTAAAATTCTTATCTTATCTTGGATCAAGACTAGGTTAATGATTCTGTATCGAAACGAGTGTCGAAATTCATGCGATCTATCCAGCGCATCAAAATATCCGATGCTAATGAGAGGTCAAGATTAAGCATATAAAAATAATTAGGTTCCTTCTTGTTCTAGGTCGGAACAAACTTCTACTTGAACTCTATCGTTTCTACAATGTTCTAGTTATTTTTCTGTGATATCTAAAAAAGTATAAGTCTGATCGAAAAATGAGTTTGATTAATGGAATCAGCGAATTAGCGAAAATTTTATTCAAAAAAATTTCAGTCATAGGCAATTTTCCCTATTCTTTTGGTTTTTATCCTTGATTGATGATTAATGTTTGTGCAATGCAGATGAAACAAAGATTCTTCAATTTAGGTTTCATTTTCAGCGGAATTGCATTATTTGCTGTGTTGATACAGTAAATAGTAGTTGTACACGTTACGTCTAGATGAATAGGAGAAACTGAATATATTTTGTTTCATTTTTTTTCTTTTGCAGGGTAATAACATTTTACAAGAGTTGTCACCTGAAGAGTACAAGTCAGTGATTAACTTGATTGAATCTTGCATCTTGTCAACAGATTTGGCTCAATATTTCAAATAATTTTAACTCTTGTTACATTGACTTATAAAACTTGAAATGTGACGACTTTAAACTAATCTTTTGTCATTAAAACAGTAAGAGAAGTAATTTCAAGAGTTGATCTCCAGTGGCAACACTCACGAAATTTTCTCTGGAAAATCACCTTTATCGTCAAAACCATTTTCTTACTGGAATCCGATCCCTAGTAATCATGCATTCCTTGATGAACAATCGACATTAGAGAAAGGAATATCGATATATATATTTATTCAAAGTATTTTTTATTCATTCAAGTTAAGAGGGCATAGTTGAACATTTTGTGTATTATTTTAAATTATGTACTAACATAAAAAAATCATAGACGACGTCTTTGCTCAAAAGTGCCGAGTTTTTTTGATTTAGCTTATTAAATCATCCTCTAGTGGGAGAATTCTTCTTCGCATACGCCAGGCATTCCAGGGACTGCGACTAAAACCGAATGGAATTTAGAAAAAAATGTAATGTGTATTTAATATGTAAATAATCAAATGTCAGTTTACGAACCGCCATTAAATTTCTTGTGATTCAAGAAAGCATCTCAAAAAAAGATAAAACTTCTGATACTTACCAAAACAAATTTCATCATCACTACATTCATAGTTGTCTTTGCATGAAAATGATGGGCAAATCTAAAAGAAAAATTAATTCATGATTCAATAAGTGTCAGTTACAGTTAACTGGCTAGATATCTTTAAAAGCTCTAATCGTTTTTAGTAGTATCAATTAGCGCAAAATATTTCATAAACAAAAAATATGAGACTTACTAGAATGCCCAACAGGATTAGGATAAAATACATAGAAATGAATTTCATGGTGGCTTTGTACACGATGATGAACTTGCTGGAATGATAATAGATAGTCGAATGATTGGGAAAAAGCTTTATATACCCTAGAAGTCAGGTTAAGTTAATAAAGATTTTCGTCATCAGCAAAGCAAGGAAAGATGCAAATTACTTACATTATTTCCTCATTTTTGGTCCATTGATTCATTTGTCTCCGTTGCCTCCTATTCCGGTTCTTAAGCAGGCTCAACGTGTCAATTTTTCTTGCTTAATAGTTTGCGTGTCTATGCTCAAGAAACATTGAATGTAATGATAACGGAAAGATAGAGTTAAGAATTTATCGTAAAAGCGGTTGTTTTTGATAATGACCTCAACATGATCATTATAGCTCGTTTCATGGACAATTTGGAATTGAAAAAACATTTCGGATTGATAGATTCTATTGCAATGGTAAAATTTCCAGCATCAATCCCAATTAAACAAATTGTTTTGAATTAATAAGATTACGCATATGACACACAAAAATTTGCGCTAAGAATCATGTTAAATATGCATATCAGCATGTTGCAAAATTAAAAAATCTTTGAGTTTTTAACATGGGCGCGAAAAATTCTTTTTCTATGCTGATTCAAAAATGATACCTATGTTACAAATCGACGTTCCGTTTGGAAGTTTTTCGAGATCAAACATATACGAATAAAATTGCTCACCCAGTAAAATGACTGTTCAAAAAGATACCATTTCCGTTTCCACGCTTCACTTATTTGCTTTGCTAGATGATTATTGCTTGTGCAGATGATTAATGCAGATGAAACAATCTTACAGCTCATCATCTAGTTATTGAAAACAAAGACAAACGCATTGAGCAATTTGATTAATTTTTTCCCGGTTATTCGAGAATCTGTATGTTAAAAATGAACTTGTTATGTGAAAAAATAAAAAAGTTATCAAAAAAATACAGGCTGACATGTGGCGGACACTCTATTTTTACAAGAAACTAATGCGATCATGGCTGATCGCAAGTTTTTTTTAACCACCCATGCTAACCGTCTTTTCACGGTAATGTCCACCACCCAATCTAACTCATCCGCAAAATCAACTAAATCAAACATCACTTTTTGTCCACCACTTTCATTAACCACTTTAGAGTGGCTTTTTTCACCACATTTGCAAACACTTTTGAGATGATGGCGATTAATAGTGGACATGCTAGATGGTGTAAAAGTGGTCAAGAGGTTGCTGGCCAATTTTGTTGAGAAAAGTCTTTTTAAAAAGTGATGTTTTGGTTGATTTGGTAGATGTGTTGGATTGAGTGGTAGACAATATAATGAAAAAAGCCTTTCTTTACTCTTTACTCTAATGACAAATTTTCTACATAAAATCCTGGTCCAACAATGAGCCATCAACCTGAATAACAAAAAAGTTTTTTCCCCTTTTTCAATGTTATTTAATACGGATTCTACAACTTTTCCCCCAACCTCTATTTTCATGAATTTCTCAGAGATCTGAATTCTGAGGCATAGTTTCCTATTTATGTGAATGTAGTTAAATTCGGGGTTTCATGCTGAGTTATTTTTTGCCTTAGAACCCGCTCAGTTTGGCCACAATCTTGACACAAAAATTTGATACATTGACTTTATATATTGTGTAGATGGCGATAGTGCAAATTTTCTACTGACACTGGTGAGGCTCACTCAAATGAAACAACTATTCAGGTAATCAGCACAGGTTTAAAACGTATTTGTTTTAACACCTGAGTAGAGGTAGGCAATAAGATCACAATTGCATCTGAACCAAATACTTAGAGATTGATTGGAAGGATTTATTCGTATTGGTTGATAGATATGCAGATAGAGTTGAAACTCATCTGTATAATTTATGCCTCCAAAGAATTTTTAACAATCACTCAATCTACTCGCGACTAAAACGCGTGAGATTGTAATACAATTTAAACTTATAAATTCTCTGGGTAAAATAATTTCGTGAGTTAGGACTACAAACCAACTTGGTGATGTATTTTCGAATCCTATGTTACAATGGTATAAACGATAAAAAATTAAAATGCAAAGTTTCAATTCCATTTTTATAATTGATCTTCTTTATTCATTTTGGATTGAATGACATTGTTTAATTATCTGAGTACCCTAACACTGATAATGTACAAATACAAATTCAGTGCATGGGTTAAACACACGGACACATCTACTAATAAATATTATTAGAGGCACTTATCACCAAGACAGATTTGCTGTCCAGGACAATCATCGTTGCTGCTGCACTTTGTTTGGAAGGACAAATAAATCTGTTAGCAAAAAGTTAAAAACAAAAAATTAATTTTTAGGTTTCTTGCAAGATTAACAGATATACAATGGAAATGGCTTCTAAGTAAATCGCAGCAACAACTTAACAGAAATATCATACTCACTAAAATACCCAAACCGATTGAGATGAAAACCGAAAAAATAAAATTCATGGTATCACACTTTATCAGAGTCCGTGTTGACTTTCAGTGAATTATGAGAACTGGTAATCAAATGTTCCGTTAGAAGCTTTATATGTCTACAATTTGTTTATTCATTGAATAATGTGGATTGTCTATGTGGCAAAATTCACAAATGATTCTATCTAATTTGTTTATTTTGATTAGCAATTTGAATGAGATAGCTGATAGTTTTGAGTCAGTAATTCAATATTAAATGGCAAGTTATGAATTAATCACCTGGATATAATGAATAAATAACTGCAACTTGATGAAAAGATACTGGTCCGTCCAAAGTTAAATGAGCGGATGGGAAACTTTGTTTCATAGCATCTTATTGTACCAGGATGGTCCTGGAGCAGACGCGTTTGATCTTATAAAATGAACAATGAAAAGTTAGAGAAAGGCCAAATTAAGTGTTTAATAAATGAAAAAAGGGATGAAATACATCGAAAAAATAATCGACGCCGATTATTAGTTTTTTAACGGAACAATTTAATCATTAACTTTTTTTCGCCCAATAGCTACAGTAAACGAACCTAATCATTCAAGGTTCATGTTTTTTTAATTCAGAAAATACAAATCAATCGCATTAAACAAAATATGCTTTAAAATTTCTAGTGATGTGCGGGACTATTGTATCAAGTCTGCTCAGTCGAATTGCTAAATTTCATTATTCAAAGGTTGAGAATTACTATGTTGTATGGCTCAGAAACGGAACCTTTACTCACTAATCAAATATTATAATATGCTTAAGAATCGTTAAAGTTTGTTTTATGCCAGTTATTTACTAGTCTGCATCGAAAATAAGTATGAAACAACTGAACAAACTGATTGATTTTTAAGGTCCATAACAGAGATAAATTTACTTTGTAAAGTAAGAGCGGGCCTACTTGTGAAACTGCAAGGTGTTGGTATAATGATTTCAACTTTGATTTACGAGTTGCAGACGGAGACTTTTTGGGTTTTATATGTAGTATAAAACTGACAAATTAGTACAATTAACAAAGATTCGAATTGGAGTGAATCATTTCATTTGTCACTATAATCTTATGCTAATTCTAGTTTGTGTCAGAAATTAATTTAATTAAACAATGATTGTCTCATCTGATGCAAAATCTATTATAAACATCATAGTGACATGAAGTACAGCTGAATAAACATTTATGGCATGATGAGATTATTTACATGCCATTTACATGTGATATGATATTCTCATGATTGATTTTTCAGAAATAACACATTTATCAAGCCATACATTGCTAATAACTGAATCAATTTACTAAAAGTTTTCAGCCAAGTTGGATTCATCATACATTTTAATCATTGTCATCATGAAATTCATTCATATTTATTTTATCTTAATCTTGTTGGGCATTCTTGTAAGTAATATCATACTCCTTAGAATTTTTTGTTAATCTTTCAAGTTAATTTTGTTATTTGAATGATTTAATTGTGATTCTAACTTGTAATATCATCAATCAATTTTCAATCTTACAATGCAGGTTTGTCAAACTATGTCTTGTGATAGTGACAAGGATTGTAATCGTGATGAAGCTTGCTTTTTCGGTGAGTTCATTGTTATCTTTCTCAATAAAAAAGGCTGTTCAATATCAATGTTTATGTTTTCATAAATGACATGCAATTATCTCCCAAATACACATTTATTTTTCATTCTGTTCTATACCTTTTTTACATATGTAGATAAGCCCCCACCAGCACCTGGCTCTTGTATTCGATTTTCAGGCTTGTGATTAAGCATCTGTGGGATAGCGATTCACTAATTGGGTCAACAGATCTGGTGATTTTCCGTTTTCCATTAAAATTTAACGAATTAAAATATTGAACCCTTCCATCTAAAATGAATAAAATTTGATGAAATGAATGAGCTTGGAAACTATCATTTTTTTCTCCGATGAACGGTGGAAAGATTAAAGTGATAATGTCTACAGTCATATCAGACTGTTACACGCAATAGATTTTAAACCCTCAATTATGCAATTAGCTTCACCTCACACACCAGAAACTTTCCGATCACCCTGTACATACCAAAAGTTTAAGAATAATAATCTTAGAAATTAGAATGAAAAATTAAATAAAACATCTGTTTTTCTTATTAATTGTAAACTCAATCAAATGAAAGTGACAAAAGTAGTACCAAAACATACTCTTCTGAGTTACAGAATAGAAACGGAAATGACCAAAGCGCCCCTGATTTTGCCGAGCGATAGTTTGACCTGGTATGGTGAATTGCCACGAATGAGGCACACTTTTTCCCTGTTTTTTCGAGGCCTTTTCTCATTTAAAGCCCTATTTTGACGAATTTTGATGCCATCCAGATAAAAACGTTTGAGTGTGATATAAAAGTGTTACCAAATATCAAATAACCTCCGATTGACGTATCAAGTTCAAGATTCAAATTCCCGACAAAGGAGGTCTGATGTCTCGGAAAGTTATTATTTCTGCGCATCTCAAGTAAACAACATTGTAAATTAAGTTTTGTGAATTAAGTTTATGGCTGTACGTCTTGGTAATGAAATCAAAAAGGGGATTTTCAAAACCGCTAAACTGAAGTATAAATCTTCCCTTAGTTTCAATACGCTCCGATAAATACAAAGTGACTTGTATTTAATCATGTTTTTGTGGTAATAATTAGCTTGAGCATCGGATAAAATTTTTTTGTATTGACGGCTGTGTGAATTATTTTGCGCTAATGAAAAATGAATCAATATAAAAAAATAAACTAAACTTGACCAAACACTAACAAACAAGGTTATGGTAACATGAGTCGAAATTCTGATCTTTTCTTTTGGAAAAAAGTTGCATTGCAATGGAAACGAAAAGATAAACCTATTTCTACAGGCTGTTTCTAAAGCCCGGATTAAAAACCGACTTTTTCAAATGGAAAAACTGGTGAATTCGGTAGGAAAACTCTGTATTATTCAAAATTACTCTAATCGAAGAAACAAAATGTTTGATTGTTAAGGTAATTTGCTCAAAATTTTAATAACCTTATCCTGGTCACTTATCATATCCCCGAAATGAGTTAGTTTGGAAGAGATAACATTTTCACTCAACTACAACTGACCTTCAATGGCTCTCAAATATGGGATTGAGGTGTTAATGCTTTATCAAAAGTGCTGGAAATTAAGTCCAATGGGTTAAAAATGTGAATTTGCATGAAAGAAGAAAATTTATGCAATGATGATTGGAAACTAAACTGTCAATTACTCAGATATCACGATGCCAACTTATCACAACGTATCACAACTTGATTATTTTAATGAACAACTTGAGTCCTCGATTCTTTATCTCTTGTTGTATCATGAATTTAATAATTTTTGCTACTTATAAAATGTAAATTATGATGATGCTTTGTTTGAGTTGAAAGAGGTGAAAACTGTTGGCTAGAAAAGGAAATTAAAATCATCTAATCTTCAATACTTTTTTCTCTGCTTCGTAAAGGGACCTTCAATAGCTATTATAATATTATAATTGTTTCCTTTTGACAATCGATCACGTTGACTGTTTACCAGTTTTTGCACTACTCATACATACGAATCAACATTGAAAGCATTGACGGAAACTTGACACGAATTTTGCTATTTGTATAATTCATGCTGAATAACACTGCAAAAATGATACAATTTCCGTTTCCAGTATGTTTCAATTGATCAAAATTTACAAAATGTGCACGTTACTATGTTTGAATTTCTTGACAGTTGGAAACTGAAGAAAATTTTTATTGACTTAACATTAACTGAAAGTATAATATATACTAGAAAGTACAGTAAGAAAGTAAAATATGTATAATAATGTACAATGTACAATGTAAGTAGTTGGTTTAGATTGGTTTGAACTGAAAGTCGAGGTGTACCATCTTCGTGCTGTACCATCTAGGTAGGCAGGAAGAGCTTTGAACATATCGTCTTGACTCCATCCTAAATCCTCAGCGGTATATTCAAAGTTGGTAAACCAATCAATGATATTAACATTTTCCTCGTCTCCAGTCTGCCACACGCTCAAATGTTGATAATTGATCGTCTGACCTAGGTATAGCTGAAAAAGTGCGTAATAAGGCATCATTCATAACTTTTTACCTCTTTTTCTATACGAAATAACAAATATCAAAAAAGTTTCTGGTACGATCTTGCTTTTGATATTCTTAAGGACCCTTTAACAACTGCAAGCAAGTCAAAAGTTTGTTAGAAAATTCGTCTTGAGAAGGTTGACGAAAAAATATGTTTATTATTGATTTACAAGCAAACTCAATTAACAATCGCGATTAGGGAATAACCAATTTGTTTGCAACCCCGCATTCAGAATACTCCATTGCATCAAATTCCACAGTCATATTTGTATCTCACTATTTCCCATTAGGTTAAATATTTTTGCATGTGTCAACAAATTGAACTATTGATCAAAAGTTATCAACAATTGAGAGTTGTAAAATTAATAATCAGTATATCCATTCAGTATTTATTTTTTAAACTAAAAGTCACAATTGAGCAAATTGAAAGTGAAAGTGAAAAGTAAAGATTTGAAAATCTTTTTTGAACTCAATAAATTTTGGTTGAGCTAAAGAAGCAAAGGAAAAGAAAACATAAATAGCATTTATAATTGTAATTATTTTATTAATTTATATCAGATACCGTAAATTCATTAACAGAACATTCAACGTAAATTCATTCAATCATTAACCTTTTGCATAGAATAATTAGTAACAGCGAATAAACACCTTATCTCGCAATTAACATTTTTTGCTTGGGCGATTGAATGTGTAAAAACATACTTATGATTTTGCTCTCAACCTATTCTATGCTCCTGATTGTCTGGAATACATCTACCGACTCGCAAAACACATTTGTAACCTGTTTGGCGACATGGTTCACCGTTAGAACATGGTTTATATTCCAACAATGAAGCTGATGAAGATGGCCAAATCTACAGGATGAAATTGAAAATTGATTAATACTTATATCACGAGTAGCATGTCAGTGAAATTAAATCTTTTTAGGTTTAACTATGCGAATGAATCAATTGATTGCTAGCAATATAATACTTACTAGAATGGCCAAGAAGAACAAAATAAAATACATAGAAAATTTCATGGTGAAGTTATATACGAGATTATGGGTGTAAGTTGACTCAAGTAAGGATTGATAACCAAATGATTTGGAAGAAGCTTTATATACCTGAATTTCGTTTGATCAGCAAATGATAATGATCGTATAACTGGTAATTATTATTTACAAAGCTGTGAATCACATTTACATCTAGATTTAGAGGATGATATAAAGATAAAATTTGCCACTTTTTGTGTCTAATGAACTGCAAGTACTGATTAAAATAATGCTTTTTACGACGACTGGTAACTGAAATATTTGTTACTAAAGACAATAAATAACCAAAAGTACAGCTCACAAAAACTAAAATGCATCAATACATCGTCATCTTCATCTTCATAGATATCATTTTGAGATAAAAGTAATTTTTTATCCGTAATACCCTTTATTCTATCTCATGAAAAAATCAGAGAATAAATCATTTCCAAGTTTTGGAATTTAAACTTATTTTCTATGGGATTTTATACCAAGTAGCTTTTTTAACTTCAAGTTTTGTTTCATTTTTCCCTCTTTATGATTCACTTTATGCAGACATAGTCTATTGACTACATTAGTCTACATAGGGTGAATCCGATCAAGAAAATTATTGAGATAGAAAGAGAAAAATGTTAATAAAAAAGATATAAAAGATAGTTTGATGGATCAAATACCCAGCCAAATCAGTGTAAATTCAGTATAAACTATTTTTCTTGAATTAGAAAAGACTGGGACTATGAAAAAATCAAAGAAAGTGGTAAATGACTAAAAAGCTTAGCTATTTTCACGAAAAAGCTTGGTTTTTAGTGCAGATAAAAAACTTTTTATCTAATCAAAAGATTTTATTTCAATAAAATTTTTATCTAAATTATTTTCTTAATCGGATTCACCCATAGTATATTTGACTTGTGTTAGATCGTAGACTCAATATCTTAAAGAATGATGCCTCTAAGTCTAGACGTTCTGCCTCAAATTTAGTTTGAACTATTAAATCTGACTGCTCTCTCAATTTCCCCTCTAGACTTAAAAGAATATCCCAACTCTTTCGAACTAGATGATAGTTCATTTAATCGTCTTCTTAGTCAGTTTGCAATCGTTTGTAAATGGTGTTGCGAAGAGTGGAATACTAAATACGACTGTATACCAATCCACAAGTCCGATTACAAGGGATGCTGTCTTGGTCCTCCCCTCACAGAGGAAGAAACTTATCAACCTGAATTCTGTGCAGTTGGACCAAATTGCTGTCGCAAGTGTGGAAGCGAAGGTCCTAAAAGTTTAAGTAAAATCATAATCCGTAGCAAATCTTCTAAAGGGGAAATTTCATACACTGTAGAAGCAGAAATAAACTCCCCTCTCATAGAACTCGAGGGATGGCATTTATCTTCAAAAATTAGAAACAATCCACCAACAGATTAACATTCCAATACTCCACGCTATCGTTGTAACTGAACAGTGGCTGTTCAGAATGGCGGCCGGTACATGCTACACACCCAAGATTATACTAAACGAATGAGTTATGAATTTAATGTAAGAAATAATACAGGGCATTCCAGCTAATTTTATCGTTGTAAATTGGCTATATCTTTGCCCCTGAGTGACCTTGAGGTTAGATATTTTGTTTATGGAAATTCGGGCGATACTCAATTGTCATATTCCAAGGTTAAGGTCATTCAAGGTCATTGCGTTATTTGACCTCTAACTGGTATTTGGAGGTGATTTTCTAAGAGTGCAAAAATTTTCAGATTGGTTACTGCTAGTGATATGTTCATAACTTATTCTGGTCATAAGATATGAGTGTTTACACATTGTTGTGTTGATCAATTGGTTTTAAGAAAAATGCATTTATCTTTTCAACGGTGTAAGATACTAACTCGTAATAAACATCAACCAATCTGAAAAATTTTACACTCTTAGAAAATGATCTCCAAATAACAGTTAGAGGCGTAATAACGCAATGACCTTGAATGACCTCGACCTTGGAATATGACAATTGAGTATCGCCCGAATTTCCATAAACAAAATATCTAACCTCAAGGTCACTCAGGGGCAAAGATATAGCCAATTTACAACGATAAAATTAGCTGGAATGCCCTGTATTTACACCCTATCGATCGTAGTTGTGCCTCGATCGATAGGGAGACTGTAACTTAGATATATATATGTAGAAGAACTCTGATTGAAATACTCAGTTGGCCTAGAACTCTTCTTGAGTTAAGTTTGAAATTCTTTTCAGATACAATAGATACAATAGATGTATAAATGAGTGAAACAGAAATTAAATATAAAATGAATAAATTGAATTGAAATGAAGGAGGATAAGAAACAAAGCACTAACGAGGAAAGCAAGTTTCACCAGGGAGACAATCCGACGCTCAGCAACATGACTTATAACTTTGACATAAGAATCGACAAATTTACAAAGTAAAAGTAAAAATTAATTTACGCATCTAAAGGTTGCAATCACAATTCACTAACTATTGGTTAGCGATATTTAACTGCTTTGAAGCTCGTCAATAACCAATTGATTTATTTGCAAGAAATGCGATACTCACTTGAATGGCCACCAAGAATAAAATAAAAAACATAGAAATTAATTTCATGGTGAAACTATGATAATGAATGATATGTTATGATGAATCTAACTTGAGTAAGAATGGTAACAGTTGTTAATTAAATGCCTCAAAATGAGCTCTGTTTATACTTATGATCAAGGTTAAGTTAACAAGCATTTTTTCACTAGTCACCATTAGCAAAGAGGTGCAAACACATTTAGATTCAATTTTACTAATTTCGATCATCTGCATCATGGAAACGGAAAACTGAATCATCTTTGAAGTGATTTTGGTGTAAATTATACAGAACATCAAGACTAGTGTACACTATACGATGATGATATTAATGTTTATTGATTTGCATCAGCTGAGAAAGTCATTGGTAAGCATTGTTTGATTAGATTGAATTCTGACGCAAACTAAACTCAAAAGAAAGGTGAGAAAATGTAAAATTCAAATAAAAATCGAATGTATCTTTTTTAATTATACAGATATTTGCCATTTTATGCATCTAAAGAACCCAAAATTTCCAGTCGTCAACTTTTCAGTCAAAGCATTATAAGTTCTCACCTACAGCCTTCCGGAATTCATTTCAAGAAAAAAATGCAAATATTTTCTGAATCAAATTACCTGTTTAGGTCAGAATAGTTTAGTAATCAAGTTAGGTTGTTAGCTTGATGTCTGAAAAAATGGTGCCTAAAAGGTTAGTCATTTTGTCTCATTTGATTTGAATGAATGTCTAAATTTCTATTCCCACTACCTTAGATGATTCATGTTCATCACATCCTGCTGAAACAACCTTCCAACTCATCATTAGATAATTTCAATAAATTAGTATTAGTCTATTTAATCTATTAGTTTGCATAGGTGTGCACTAAAAAACCAAAATTAACCAAAATTCACAAAAATTGATCAAAATCACACTATTTCGACAAAAAAGACAAAATATTTCATCAAAGAACCAAAATTTACCAAAAAAAGTAAGTGCAAAAAATCTGACTTTCGAGTTAAGAGTTGGGACTTTGTGCGTTTGTAGGGGCATGAAAACTGAGTCCATCAGTGGCATTTAAAAATCCTCCGATCTACAGTTTTCGAGATAATCGAGGCCAAAGTCGAAACTTTGATCGCCTTTTATTCAATTATGGAAGCAGATTTTTTCATGAAACTCATTATTTTCATGTAACTTTTGATGGATAATCAGAAAATAAACTTATTCTGTAGTTCTAAAACAGAAAATTTTATTTCGCAAAGAAGTTTGTTTTAGCCACGAATTCAGGCATGCATGTTCGTATTTTCGACGCTTATTCTTATTTAAAGCCCTATTTTGACTAATTTTGATGGCAGTCGGATGAAACTATTTGTGTGTGATGCAAAAGTTATACAAAATCTCAAATGACCTTCTATTGACGTTCAAAGATCAAATTCCCGACAATTAGACCTGAGAACGATCCGATTAAAGATCGATCCGGATCGATTAAACATGTTGCGATTCGAGCTCGATCCGATCTTTTAATATGACGATTAATCAGTGTTAGGATCGATCTTTCTATCTCTATCCTTTGGTGTCTTATGCTCATCTAATTTTCGTTTTGAAGTCATGATATTTGATTTAAGTGTTTATAAGTATTTCATTATTTAGTGAATCTTGTTTTTTACTGTTTCTTTGAGTCAGTATGAAGCGTAAAAGTGATATTTGGACCCATTTTACACTTGACAAAGTGAACAAATTTGGTGAATGTAACACTTGTGGTAAGAAGCTAAAGTACTGTGGAAGCTCTACATCATTCTGGCGACATGCATCTATGCATGGATTATTCAATTCTGATGATAATGACGAAGGAAGTAATGAAGCCAGTGATTCCGGTCAATTGACTATTCCTGAAGTTCTTGATCTAATGGATGAAAGTAGCAAAAAATGCGTCAAATTCAAAGATGATTTATGCTCATTAATTGTTACTTGTGGATTGCCATTTAGTGTTGTTGAGAAACCAGGATTTGAATTGTTTTTCAAACGTAATTTACCCAGAGGCAAATTGCCTTCTCGATTTACAATTAAGAATGATGTTTTGAAAAAATTTGAAGTAGTCAAATTACATTTGATAGCAAAATTTGCTAATGTTGACTCCTTTGCTTTAACATTTGATTCTTGGACTGAGCCTTTCAACAATCGTGGTTATCTTGGTGTAACTTTACATTTCCTGTTGCTCAATCAATTACAATCTCAGATTATTGCTGTAAAAGAACACAAATCAACCCATTCAGCACATAACATAGTTGATATGTTGGAAACTATTCTATGTTCATGGAATATAGCAAAGGAAAAGATTGTTTGTTGTACAACAGATAATGGTGCAAATATGAAATTAGCTGTTGACTTGTTTCTTGGTCCAAAAAAACATGTTCCTTGTTTTGCTCACACTCTCAACCTCTGTGTCAAAGAAGCGATTGAAAAATCAAACTCATTCAGTTCAATTGTTGACAAGGTAAAAGCGATTGTTACATTCATTAAACATTCATCAACTGCATCTCAAATATTAGCTCAAGCTCAAACTGATGAAGTCCAAAAATTGAAACTGAAACAAGCTGTTGTTACGAGATGGAACTCGATCTATTTAATGTTGGAACGTTTTGTTAAACTTAATGTTCATGTTTATGCAATTCTTACTCAATTTTCACGAGCTCCTGGAATGGTAAATCAAACTGAAATAACAGCAATCGTTGAAGCTTTAGAGCTTCTTAAGCCATTTTATGAAGCAACTGAGGAACTCTCATCAGACACTAAAACAACTATTTCCAAAATTATACCGATGGTTAATTTGATTGATAAACGTTTGTCAAGTTTTGATTGTTCATCAGAAATTACAAGAAAACTTAAACAAGAATTACTTAAAGCTTTTAATAACAGATTTGGAAACATCGAGTCAAGTAAATTACATGCTATGGCAACTATTTTGGACCCAAGGTTCAAAAGGAATGATTTCCAATCAATTATCAAAGCAACAGAAGCTGTTAATTTAATTAACCGTGAGTTGAGTTCAATTCAAAGGAACAATCTAAATGATTTTGATTTAGACGAGCCTCATCATGAAGGTTTATGGAGCCTGAGAAACATAAGACAATCTGAATTCACTCAAAATGGTTATCCGTTGGATGAAAGTTTCCGTCTCTACTTGAACAATAAGCTGAGTAATTTACATGACTGTCCGATTACTATTTGGTTAAACTTGAAACAATTAAACTCAAGTCTTTCTGATTTAGCTTTGAAATACTTGATCATCCCGGCTACTTCTGTTCCCTCTGAAAGAGTTTTTTCAAAAGCTGGTCATCTAGTTGGCAAAGAAAGGTCATCACTTGACCCTAAACTCGTTGAAGAAGATTATTATTGATTATTATGATGGGAAGTGACCCAAAACTTATCTACCATAAATAGATGTTAAACCTTTGGTTTTTGTTCAAATTCAATTTTTTTTGTCTCAACATTGGAACATCAGTAACTCGCCAGTCTCAAATTTTCTGAACACAATTGACACACCATTAGCTTCCTCTTGATGAGGTGAAACTAAATATGTATGATTTATAAATGAAACTTTCTTATTTCTTTCAAAACATGATGTTGCCCGACGTAAAAAATCAATAAAGTTATACCATAAGTACAATGGAGTTAGTCATCCTGGCGACCCTACCTTTTTTTCAGAAAGAAACATGATACAAGATTGATTAAGGTATCAATGGAGAGAGCATATAAAATGCTTTCGATTGATATATAATTCATGTTTATCACTCAATTCGTTGTTGAGTTACAAATCGATGAAATTTTGCGAAAAAACCATTTTCGTGCATCTAATGTTTGTTGAAAATTGAAAAATTAGTTTACTTTAACCAATAGTAAGTAAAGATCGTTTAGGCTCGATTAAAGCTCGATCCTGAATCGAAGTTTTGCCTTACGATCCGATCCTTGAATCGATCCTAAAAAAGAGCGATCTTCTCAGGTCTACCGACAATGACCTCCGATTTCTGCGAAAGTTCTTTCTGCAAATCTTTACAAGTAGTCAAAACTTTATATCAAGGTTCAAGTTTTTTAGCAAAAGGTTATGGCTGTACGTCTTTGTAATGAAATCAAAAAGTGGATCTTCAAAATAGCTAATATGGAGTATAAATATTCACTTAGTTTCACTACGCGCCGATAAATATCCAAAATTATCCAATATAAAGCAAAATGTTTGATTGTTGAGTTGATTTACTCAACATTTCAATAACCTTATCCTGGTGACTTATAATGACCCCGCAATGATTTAGTTCGGGAAGATACTGTATTTTCCAATTCTGTAATAAAATCAATGACAGATTGATCATTTTTGACCTTATGGAAAACTACGATGAAAGGGAACTCAATGAATTCTGATAAGCAAAAGAAGAAAAGAAAAAACACAAATAACATACATAATTTATTTTAGTATTTCTTTATTTATTTATATCAGATACCGTAAATCATTAACAGACTTGTTTTTTCATCCTTTTGCATAGAATAATTAGTACACAGCGAATAAACACCTTATCTCGCAATTAACATTTTTTGCTTGGGCGATTGAATGTGTAAAAACATTCTTATGATTTTGCTCTCAACCTATTCTATGCTTCTGATTGTCTGGAATACATCTACCGACTCGCCGGACACATTTGTAACCTGATTGGCGACATGGTTTAGTTTTAGAACATGGCTGATATTCCAACAATGAAGCTGATGAAGATGGACAAATCTACAGGATGAAATTGAAAATTGATTAATACTTATATCACGAGTAGCATGTCAGTGAAATTAAATCTTTTTAGGTTTAACTATGCAAATGAATCAATTGATTGCTAGCAATATAATACTTACTAGAATGGCCAAGAAGAACAAAATAAAATACATAGAAAATTTCATGGTGAAGTTATATACGAGATTATGGGTGTAAGTTGACTCAAGTAAGGATTGATAACCAAATGATTTGGAAGAAGCTTTATATACCTGAATTTCGTTTGATCAGCAAATGATAATGATCGTATAACTGGTAATTATTATTTACAAAGCTATAAATCACATTTAAATCTAGATTTAGAGGTAATAAAGCCGTTTATTGAAAGTTGAATCCACTTTTCAAATCGATTGCGCAGGTAATCAGCTATTGGTTTTATTATCTAAATTAGATATTTTGACTCAGAATGTATGGGTAGCAATTGGTCATGAGCAATTGATTAAGTTAATCATAGATTTGCTGATACGGATTCTACAATTTTTCCCCCAACTCCTATTTTCATGAATTTCTCAGAGATCTCAATTCTGAGGCGAGGTTTCCTATTTTCGTGGATGTAGTTGAATTCGGGCTTTCATGCTGTGTAATTTTTTTTTATAGAACCCGCTCAGTTTGGGTTCAATCTTGACACAAAATTTGATACATTGACTTTATACATCTATGTTTGTGTCACTTTGTATATTGTGTAGATTGGGATTTTATGCCAACTAGCTTTTTTATCTTAAAGTTTTGTTTCATTTTTCCCTCTTTATGATTAAGACATAGTCAACCAATGTTTAAGCAATCAACTTCAAATTTCATATGCAGCTTGTGTTAGGTTGTTGGCTCGATACTGAAAAAATGGCGCCTCTAAGTCCTAACATTACAGCTTAACTCAAAGAGTATTACTCTTTTGCTTAACTAGCTAAAGGGGTTACGAATAAAAGATTACTTTTATCTTAAAAATGATATCTATGAAGATGAAGATGACAAAGATAAGAATGCGAAGAAAGAGAAAAGAAACGACGAAGTTTTTCCCTATGGTAAAACCACATTTTTATCTTTGTCATCTTCATCTTCATAGATATCATTTTTGAGTAAAAAGTAATTTTTATCCGTAACACCCTTTATATTTATTCTATCTGATGAAAAAATCAGAGAATTAATCATGTACAAATTTTTCAAGTTTTGAAATTAACCTTATTTTCTATGGAATTTTATACCAACTAGTTTTTTTATCTTCTAAATTTTGTTTCATTTTTCCCTCTTTATGATTTACCTAATGAAGACATAGTCTACTGACTACATTAGTCTACATAGTATATTTTACCAATTAACTTCAAATTTCATATTTGACTTGTGTTAGGTTGTTGGCTCAATACCTGAAAGAATGATGCCTCAAATTTCATTTGAACTATTAAATCTGAATGTGTCAATTTTCCGTTGTACCATATTTAATTACTGTTAAAATATTCAATTTTGCCATTTAATCTAGATATAACGTCTATATGGATTGACTGTTATTTCAACACGTATTTACAGTACATGACCTATCCATCACTCAAGGTTAATGCTCATTTGAATAAAACAATACAAATCTATAACGATGATAAACTGGCTTGGATTGTTGCATCTGCATTGTATAAACATTAATTACCAATCAAGTTTACAAATAAATGTAACTTAAGAGCAAACATCCTTTGTTTCCGTTAAAGAGAGCTGTTTTATTTGTAATATTTGTGTCAAATTTCTGGTGTGAGGAGCTTTTTCCCCTTCTGCGTGCAGTGACACTGTTTCGTTTTTTGTTTTACACTGTGTTCAAGAGCATTAAGACCAGTCTCAAAGATACGTTTTAAACAAGATTCAGTAATACATTGAGATTTCTATTCGTATTATCATTAATTCAACGCAAAAATTTGAGTTTATTTCGAAAAATACCTAAGAATTAGAAAATATGAAGATTTTAGTGATTTTTACGAAAAAAATTGTTCAATGGTATTAAGATCACACTATTAATTTCATCTTTATTGACTTTAATAATGCGTTGATTTGCTATTGAATATAGTGTATTCTGCCTTACTCTTCTAGGCAAATATAGCTTCACACACCAGAAACTTTCCGATCACCCTGTACATGCCAAAAGTTTAAGAATCGCAATATTAGTATGTCGACTCAGTCCTTCCAAATGCAAAATTTACCAAAGTTGACATAAATATTCTCAATATATTTAAGAATAATAATCTGAGAAATTAGCCTGAAGACTTTTTACCTGTTTTTCGTGGCATTTTCTCATTTAAAGCCCTATTTTGACGAATTTTGATGTCAACCAGATAGAAATGTTTGTGTGATATGAAATTGTTGCCAAATATCAAATAACCTTCGATTGACGTATCAAGTTCAAGAGTCTAATTCCCGAGAAACGAGGTCTGATGTCTTCGAAAGTTATTTCTGCGCATCTTTTCAAGTAAACAACATTTTAAATTAACCTGTGCGGAAGTATTTCTAGACAAATTTTCATGATGAAATTTAACAATTGTTTCATGTCATATATAAATTTTTTCATACATAATTCGAAAGCTTAAAATCAGCATTTTCATGTCAAATTATCAAAATCCCTCTGACAGCCAAGAACAACTTTTGTTTAAGTGTTTTTCTCAGCTTGAAGCTTCAGCTTCAGGTGTAAACTTTTTTTTACTAATTTGCTTATATTTTTTGATTGGAGCGTTTATTTAGCCGAAACAAAGCACCACGCTTTAGATTGCATGTAATAATAAGATATTTCAAAAAGAAACGAAGTTTCAAATGCACTAAATTAATGGAAAAAATCTCGTTAGTTAATAAAGCTATTCAGAACGAATTTGGTATGAATAAAGATAAGCCCTTTGCATCCTTTCTGTAAAATTTCAAGCATATTGAACATATATTCAGTAAAAAGAATGGTTTTATAGTTTGCCTAGAAATGCTTCCGCACAGGTTAAGTTTCAAGTTTTGTGAATTAAGGTTATGGCTGTACGTCTTGGTAGTGAAATCAAAAAGGGGATTTTTAAAACCGCAAAACTGAAGCATAAATCTTTTCTTAGTTTTACTACGCTCCGATAAATATTATTCAAAATTACTCTAATCGAAGAAACAAAATGTTTGATTGTTGAGGTAATTTGCTCAAAATTTTAATAACCTTATCCTGGTCACTTATAATATCCCCGCAATCAGTTAGTTTGGACAAGATACCATTTTCACTCAACTACAACTGACCTTCAATGGCTCTCAAATTAGGGGTTGAGGTGTTAATGCTTTATCAAAAGTGCTGGAAATTAAGTCCAATGGGTTAAAAATGTGAATTTGCATGAAAGAAGAAAATTTATGCAATGATGATTGGAAACTCAACTGTCAATTACTCAGATATCACGATGCCAACTTATCACAACTTGATTATTTTAATGAACAACTTGAGTCCTCGATTCTTCATCCCTTGTTGTATTATGAATTTGATAATTTTTGCTATTTAAAAAATGTAAATTATGATGATGCTTTGTTTGAGTTGAAAGAGACGAAAACTGTTGGCTAAAAAAGGAAATAATCATCTAATCTTCAATACTTTGAATTTGTTTCTCTGATTCGGAAACGGGGCCTTCAATAGCTATTATAATATTATAATTGTTTCTATTTGACAATTGTTCACGTTGATTGTTTACCAGTTTTTGCACTACACATACGTACGCATCAAAATTGAAAGCATTTACGTAGACTTGACACGAATTTTGCTATTTGTATAATTCATGCTGAATAACACTGCAAAAATGATACAATTTCCGTTTCCAGTATGTTTAAATGGGTCGAAATTTACAGAATGTGCACGTAACTATGTTTGAATTTCTTGACAGTTGGAAACTGAAAAAAATTTAATTAACTTAAAGTATATATAATAAAAACTTCTTTCGAATCATTAGCTTATCTGTAACTAACATTAATTACTCAAGTTAGATTAATCAAACTGTATTAAGTGTCATCATGAAGTTCATTTCTATGTATTTTATTTTAATCTTGTTGGGCATTCTAGTGAGTATCATATTCCATGATAAAGGATGTTACAAAAGTAAGGCGACTGAATTCAAATCGCTGTAAATCATGAACTATAAGGTTTATTGATATAATTTAAAGCTTCACTTGAAGGACATGAATAAGGCATTGAAATCGGTACTAAACAATAGATAGTGGCCCTTCTCGAGCAACTTTACGTAACTTTGACTTGAGACCACTCATAAGGTTCTTGCCGGAGTTATTAGCAACTTTTTCGGCGATATTTTTCCAAATTTTACGGAAGTCACAGAGTCGACGAGGTACAGAACGTCTTTTAGAGTATTCTGATTTACAGAGAGCCCAGAATTTTTCGATAGGTCGAGCTTGAGGCAAGTTTGGGGTGTTTTCTTTCTTCTTAACAAACGAAATTTTTTTATTTTCTAAAAACTTGAGCACATCTTTCTGGTAATGTGAACTCGCCAAATCAGGCCAGAACAAAATATCCTCGATTCTATGATACTTTTCGATGAAAGGTATCAAGTATTTATCAATTATCTCAAGATAAACTTTATGATTAATTGTCCCTGTAGTGACGTAAGGATCTGAAACGTTACCTAAACTATCCATAGCTTGCCATACAAGATATTTTTGAGCAAATTTTGTTTTCGGATCGATTCTAATGCTATCATCTACTGAATTTCTTGATTTAGCTGAATAAAATTTTCTACCTGGAATCTGTTCTGGGTCTGAAAAAACATATGTTTCATCATCAATAATTAGAATTTTATTAGCTAACATTTGTTCATAAATCTTTCTTGCACCTTTCTTACATCTATCGGGTTGATCTTTTTTATAATTAGGAGCTTTGATTCGACGATATGACTTATATCCTAACTCTTTCTTACCTCTAGCAAACGAACCATACGAAATTCTGAGCTTTTCTCCACCCAAACGCAACGAAATTGTTGGATTTTTTTCCACCACCTTTTCGATTTTTCGCAATTTCTCGGGATTCCGAGCACTTCTTGGTCTTCCTGAGATCGCAAAATACTCCTCAGAGCCTGATGAATCGAATCGCTTAATCATTCGATATAAAGATTGCTTAGATGGCCCTTGATTAATGAAATGTTGAACTGTTGCTTGTCGATTTTTTTCATTTTTGAGGTAAAATTGGCACACTTGTTTATAAAAACACTCATTTTGAACACGTTTTTTCGCCATGTTTAGGCTCAAAAATGAAAAAAATTGACATCAACAGATAGCCTAGAGTCTAGTTAATCCGATTCATCCTTTAAATAGTTTAAAATTATTCTCAATCAAGAGAAAAACCGATTAAACTCTTAGTCGCTTTACTTCTGTAACAGCCTTTAATAAGTTAGTGTGTTATTATTGTTAATCCATTAAATTGATTAAACGCCAATAACTAGTTAATTGAGTTTGTGGACCACCAAAAATTAATTTTCACTTTTACCTTGTAGATTAGTCCATCCACAGTTTGACCAAAGCAAATCTAAGTTAGAGCTACGAAATAAATCGCATCGAAAACCATAGCTTGAAGCAAATTTTAAACTTGTTTGCAGTTCTTAAATGGTCCTCAAGACTATCGAAAGCAAGATCGAACCGAAGATTTTTTGATATTTGTTATTCTGTATAGAAAAAAGAGGTGGACAGTTAAGGATGATGCCTTATTACGCACTTTTTCAGCTATAACTTGGTCAGGCAATTTATCGCACACATTTGAGCGTGCGGCAAAATAATATAGTGAACATTCTTATTCGATTATAACAACTTTATGTCGATGTTTTCAGGTCATTGAAATTTTCGAAACATTTCTTCAGCTTAGGGGAAAATTATAAAATTACTAGTCTTATGATGAATGCAATTTTCTAGCATCAAGGGTTGCTGAGTTAGTACGGAAAGAAAACTAATTTTTCTTGCAAGAGATAAATAGTATAGATATGAATTAATCAAAATTGAGAGTGATGAAGATAAAGAATACAAATTTAAATGAAGGGTGAACCGAAAGTAGGGACACAAAATTTAAAACGGGATTTCTCAGTAAATATTCATCGTAAATATTTCATCTTAACATATTCAGCCTCGGAAATTAAGTTTACACTGATTTCAATATCTATTGCGCACTAGATAGAAATTGTTTGATTAAATTGTAAAATTTGATTAGATACAATTAAAATCAAACACATTAAACGCAAGTTGCAATAGTTATCTAATCAATAATACAATTTTATCAAACCTTTTTATCGTATGCGTAAACGATAGCGAAAACAGTGCAAACTGAATTTTGGAGGCTGAATAATACAATAGATTTAAACGCAGACAAGATGATTATTTCGTTATTGATGTAGGACCTTCTCAAATATAAGATTTTACGTAATATTCGATTCATGCTTACAATTTAAATTCTGCCAAAGTTTAAATGATTTTTTGTGCTTAGTTGTTTCATATTTTTTGGATAAAACAAATTTTAGATAAATTTCACCCTGTAGAAGATTCCTAGAACATCAAGAGCAGAATTTTATCAAACGGACGGGCATGGGATGAGTTTTCCGCTGAAATTGTCTAGCTTTTACTGGAATTTTTTGAATCTGCAACATGGGAAATGGCAGATTCAAGCATAAACAAATTAATTTTCAACACTTATACTGATCTTATTTGTTTTCCAAAAAACAAAATTTTAGTATTAAATCGAAGCTAAAAAATTACTCTATCCGTTTACGCTCTCTAATTTTTTTGGGGCATAATAGTTTTACAATTAATCCGCTTGAAATATTTGTGTCCCTACTTTTGGTTCACCCTTTAATCCAATATTTTCAATGATGAATTGATAATAATGATAATGATGAGGTCAAAAGTAAAGTGTAAAGGTAACTAAGTTAGCACTCTTGAAGTAAGGTTGATGATGAAGATAGAGGCAAAACGCAAGCAATTGGAATATGGATTGTTTGCTACAAGCTCAAGCTCGTTTCTCTTTCTCATTTCTTAACTTTAGCGTACAATAGCCGAATCAGCTCAAGATTCAGAATTGATTGAACCATATATCAATCAAAAGCTTTTATCTAAGCTTTCGATTGATATAAAGTTTAATAAACTCAGAATTAGAGTTTCCATAAAAAAATCATCTTTTGAATAGCCCAATTTACTTTAGGGAGACAAAATTCTAGTATTTAAGAGTTTTTTATTCAGTATGTAAATAGCTTCGTTGATTATTGGCTCTATCAATATACAGGGCATTTCAGCTATCTTTACCGATGTTAAACGCTTATTTCTCGGCCTGTGATTGGGCCAGAGACTTCAAAAAAGTTTTATGCCAATTTCGCGAATACTTATTTACCATATTTCAAGGTCAAGGTCATTCAAGGTCATTTTTCGGAAATCGTCCCTTACAATGTTAGAGGTCAAACTAAGGTCGAATCATAATTTTCAAGGTCAAATAATCGTACTGGTCAAGTCTCATCATTGTCCAATAAGCGCTTTGTTAGTTATTGTCATTTCAATTAATAAACGTTTGAAAAATTTGGTGGAAATGGAAGATAGTCAACTAACTGAACATTAGTTGGTAAAACAAAAGCAAATTTTTGATCAATCGAATAGTCAGAGTCGAATTACAAGTTAAATTTAAAGATATTGTCTAAACCTAATAGCAAGTCAAAACCAACAGGTTTTTGTTCACAAAACGATCAAAAAATGCATTAGCAATACAAATCTTAACCACAAGTATCCGGGTCTCATGGGTTCAAATCAGTACTAAAACGAGTTCATAACTCTGCCATTTTCAAGCCCGAATATTTTAAAAATTCATAATCGTCCGTTCAATCAAAAACTCAATAATCAAAAATAAATCAAAAATGGAATAAAATATCCGTATTTTTTGTATGTTCATCAAATTTTCTTCTTTTTTCCGATTTTTCTCAAAAAAGTACCTTTCATTCCCGTAAAACCTACTTTTTTCTTCCCGAAAGCCCTATCCTCAGTAATTCTCAGTAATTCCTTGATGAAAATGCGACATCAGAGAAAGGCATATCGATATATATTGATTCAAAGTATGCATTTATTTATTCATTCAAGTTCAGAGGACATAGATGTATTATTTCTAATTGTGTGATAACATGAAAACAAATCATCGACGATTTTTTGCTCATAAATTTCATTGTTGATTAATATGCAATCATCCTCAAGTTGCGTCAATTTTCTACTATCTAAACAATCCCTCATCACATTTGCCATCCTTCCAAGGAGCTGCACCTAAAACCCAATAAAATATGAAAAAAACATGAAATGTGTATTAATTATGTATATAGTCAATTGAAAAACCGTCATTTAACATCTTGAGCTTGCAAAGTGCAAATCTCAAAAAATAGATACTTACCAATACAATGTCCATCTGGTCCACATTCTTTGTCGTTTTTGCATGAAAATGATGGGCAAATCTACAGGTTGAAGAAGAAAAATTAATTCATGATTCTATAAGTGTCAGTGACAGTTAGCTAGTAAGGTATTTCAATTTCGTTTTCACTATAATCAATAAGAGCATGATGTTTCCTTTACAAGAAATATGAGACTTACTAGAATACCCAACAAGATTAGGATAAAATACATAGAAATGAATTGCATGACGACGGTGTAGACGATGATGAATTTAACTTGCTTGAATGATAACTGATAGTCAAATGCTTAGGAAGAAGCTTTATATACCCTAAAAGTCAGGTTAAGTTAATAAAGATTATCGTCATCTAACAAGCAAGGAAAGATGAAAATTACTTGTCAATTTCCTTATTTTTAATCAATTGATTCATCTGTCTCCATAGCATCCTATTGACATAAACTGTTTTTAGGTAATATGCTAATTGAGCATTCTTTAACTATCATTCGACAGCAAAAGAAAACTTGCAATGTTATTACAGAAGTCGATTTAATCTCCCTAGTCAATCTTATTTTTGATCTTTTTACTCACTTGCTGAAATATTTCATGATGATTTTTAAAGCTGAAATTCATAATGACATAAAATAGAAAATTAAGTTTGAGACAGATTATGTAAAGGTTTAATGAAAAACTACCAAAATTTTGCCATTGGAGGACAGTATTTGTTGTTTTGATCATTTTCACAATCATTTTGAAGTAGGTTCGATGTGGCAGTTTTTCTTGTTAATAGCTTTGCGTGCTCGTGCTTGGGCAACAATGAAGATAACGACAATAAAAAGGTGCTGCTAAGAAGCTGTCTTACAAGCGATAGTTTTTATTATAACCTCAACATGATCATTATAGCTCGGGTCATTGATAATTTGAAATGTAAAAAAACATCACAAATTGACAGATTCCATCGTAATATTAAAATTGCCAAAATCAATTTGCATGAAATTTTTTTAAATAAAATAGATTCTGCATATGATGCACTGCAAAGCAAACTATTAATCATAAAAAATTCAATTTCATTTTCGAACCGACGTGTAAAATTCAATTCAGACAGGTAATTAATGAAGTTAGTGTTGAGTACTGATAATGACCTTGAACTTGACTCCATAGTTGAGGATTGTGATTTTCTTTGTAAAAAGTTGTAAAGATAGAACTTGATTGAATTACCTATTTACACTTTAAGGTTGCTTCATAACTACATGATCATTTTGAATGATTAATGAATAATGATTAATAATGAACTTATACTCATATTTGGTTAGCGTGTATAATTTATGTAAAATGACGTGTAAAACACTCATTGTAACATGAGACTTAGCCCTAAACATATGTGCTTAATGGTCAGCTGGCAACACGTGAAAGTATCCATGCTAACGTTATCATTTTTTGTCTTGTCTTGTGCTAAAAATGAATTGACTATGGATAATTTGACTGAGTTATCCTTCAATCTAAATGCAAGCTGATTAATACTCAGTTTAGACATGAAATTTCATCAAGAAATTAAATTTCTTTGAATTGAACCTGATAAAATCAAAAGAAAACCTTAATTCCTGACTGCTTAGGATTCTATTGACTACATTAGTCTACATAGTATATTTAACCAATTAACTTCAAATTTCATATTTGACTAGTGTTAGGTTGTTTGCTCAATACCTGAAAGAATGATGCTTTTAAGTCTAGACATTCTGCCTCAAATTTAGTTTAAACTATTAAATCTGAATGTGTCAATTTTCGGTTGCATCGTATTTAATTACTGTTAAAATATTCAATTTTGGGTAAAAGTAAGGTTTTACGGACTAAGGCGGAACTCAAAAATCACACACTTTCGCTACCCAATGGTAAAATTGATAATTAATACACAAACAGGTGAACATTTAAGTTTAATTTCTTTTCTATAGAAATTAATGATTAATCAGAATTTTCTCTTTGCCTCTTTCAGTATTCATGGATTTGAGACAAGATTAGTAACTGACATTAGTTCAATTACCATTATAACCATAGACTTAATTTTAAAAGATTAACCTGATTGGATCTTAATTTAAATGTTGCCCCTCCTCAGTCCGTAAAACCTTAATCTTATCCAATTTTGCCATTTAATCTAGATATAACGTCTATATGAATTGACTGTTATTTCAACATGTATTTAGAGCACACGACCTATGCATCATCCAAGGTTAATGTTCATTTGAATAAAACAACACAAATCTACATGTATAACGATGATAAACTGGATTGAATTGGATTGTTGCATCTGCATTGTATAAACATTAATCACCAATCGAATTTACAAATAAATTTAACTTAAGAGCAAACATCCTTTGTTTCCGTCAAAGAGAGCTGTTTTGTTTGTAATATTTGTGTCAAGTTTCTGGTGTGAGGGGCTTTTTCCCCTTCGTCGAGCAGAGACACTGTTTGGTTTTTGTTTACACTGTGTTCAAGAGCATTAAGACCAGTCTCAAAAATACGTTTTAAACAAGATTCAGTAATACATTGAGATTTCTATAAGCATTATCATTAATTAAACGCAAAATTGAGTTTATTTTCAAAAATACCTAAGAGTTAGAAAAAATGATGATTTTAGTGATTTTTACAAAAAAATTGTTCAATGGTATAAGGTCACACTATTAATTTCATCTTTATTGGGTTTAATAATGCGTTGATTTGCTATTGAATATACAGTGTATTCTGCCTTAATCTTCTAAGAAAATATAGCTTGAAACTTCAGAAAAATTGTTCTGCAATTCTCAAAAGCATACTGTTGAAATATAAATACCCTAGCATGTTTAGATCTTTAGATATCAAGTAAAACGGGAAGTAAATGAGGCTGAATAGCCCTGTATAATACAAATAAGAAAAAACTGTCCCACAATTTGACCAAAGCGAATCTAAGTTTGAGCTACGAAATAAATTGCATCGAAAACCGTGGATTCAAGCAAATTTGAAACTTGTTTGCAGTTCTTTAACGGGCCGCAAGACTATCTGAAGCAAGATCGAACCAGAAAATTTTTTGATATTTGTTATTTTGTATAAAAAAAAGAGGTAAAAAGTTAAGGATTATGGTTTCAAGAAAAAAACCATCTTTCGAATAGCCCAATTTACTTTGGGGAGACAAAATTCTAGTATTAAAGAGTATTTTATTCAGTATGTGAATAAAATTAGCTTTGTTGATTATTGGCTCTATCAATATATTGCTCTACTCAAATGAAAATGATTGTTATTGCTTTGTGCGTTTTTCACGTTCCGATGTTATGAATCGATGGTCTGACCCATTCATGAATGACGGAAACAGGGACTGTTTTCTCGGAAGTTGCTTTTGTTTGCTTTGATAGATGATTCATGTTTGCGCGACACAGATGAAACAATCTTACAGCTCATCACCAGATGCTCAAAACTAGGTTTTATTTTCATTCAAATTGTTATGCTATTATAATATTTGCAGTATTTAAAGAAACATGAACCTTGAATAATTAAATTGTTGGTAACTGGAATTGTTGTGTTAAAAATAAGTTCAATGATTGTACACGTTACAACTAGATGAATCAATGAAACTGAATATTTCATGATAATTGTCAAAAAGTAAAGAAAAGAATGTAAATTGATATGAGTCAACTTTCTGAATTGTGTGATCAGGTGATGAAGCTAATCTAAAGCAGTCTCTGAATCCGAATTCAAATGAACTTGCATGCAATTTCTACAGTATATGGTAAAAATTATGAAAATTTAAGACAAAAATGTTTATCTGTTCATCAGCTGTACAATGGATACAAAAAAGCTATTTGACTATCCATACTATTAGGTTAAGGCAAGCAATACTACGAAACTGCTGCCTGATATTGTCGGTTTGATTGTTTACCTTTTGTTGTAATCTCACATATTCATTGGCAATGTGTCCATACTTATTTAGGTAATTAAAAAACTTTTATAATAATGATGACCTTTCATGGATCAATGCATAGATATTCAATCGTGCAATGATTTTCTAAGCGTTTCAAATGGCACCAGGCTCAATCAAGATGACCAAAAAGATATTGTCCGACATGATGATGGATTTTTATTGAATGCAGAATAGCCACTTTTTTTTGTACACATGTCTGTCCAGAATGGTAATGTGAATTTATCATATAAATTGTTGAATCTTTATATTTAATGAATTTAATTTACATTGAAAAAATTGAAAAATTCTTCTAATTGCTTTGAAAAGGGCAGAAAAAGCATTCAACTATAACCATTTGCTTCCGTAGATTGAAGAATCATGAGATCGAATGCATAGGTCTTTCAAGGAAAATCCGTTTTTTTGACCTCTAAGCGAGTGATGAGTGAACAAAAAGCTATTCTCTCTTCATCATGCAATTTTGAAATTCGAATCAAGAGCAGGAATTAAATTCATCATTGTGTTCAGTCATAAGCGTTATTTCTACAACTAGATATTAGGCTGTTCGGGTGAAAATGAGCCCTTTTTGATTGGTTTTTACTCAATAATCAGTAATCCAATCTCTCTCGATATTGAAATTTTCTGTACAGTTTTTCTTCTACTTTTCATTGAGGTAAAGTACATAGTGGTCTGAGCGATTATTCGGCAGCAAAAGGTCAAAAGGTCATTTTTTATGGAAAAATGATCGAAATAGTGAATTTTTTGATTTTATTCATTTGTAAACTGTTATCTTTCCATTGAAAGTTATGAAAATAGTAGAACTGAGTCTAGTCTTACAGAAAAACTATCAGAAGTTCTATTATAGCACTCGCACCGATAGTTACATCGATTCGAACAAGGTAAGTCATGTTTACGTTAACTACGCTGTAGAAGAAAAAAAAGAAACGCAATCAAATGATAATTTTGTGGAATGAGAGTTCGATCTTTAGGCTATCTTGCGAGCAGCATTAGGTATCTGTAATGCTTCATGGAGCGGCTGTAGACCAATTCAATCGAAAAGCGGCAAACGGCCTAAAATGCGATGACCGTCAAAACAGCACTTCAAAACTAAAATAAAAGTAGAATTTTAAATTTTGAGTTGATTTGAATAATATATTTTCACGAAAAAAGCGATCGATTATGCTAACTTATCGAAAAATTATTCCAAAATGCGTCGGGCTCAAAATGACGCGAACAACCTAATAAAAGACAAATATGGTAATAATTTAGATATTATTAATAAATGCTTCTTTATTCATTTTACATCACAGGATCTATTTTTCAGCTCACAATTTCGTATAACAGTGACAATAAAAGTAAACGATTAGTTCGGGTAATTCAAATTATAGAATCATCCTCCAGATTCACTGACGTTCATTTTGCAAGGTCTCCGTCATTAACGCATTGTCCTAGTCAAAGGACGAAATAAAACGCAATAAAATAAGAAGTTAGAAGGTGTGTGAATATATGATGATCATGATAAATTCCATTTCTTTAACCATAAACTTCGATCATAGAAAAAACCTTTGATATCGAAAAGATGAATTGATAAACTCTAGATACTCACCTCCAACACACAAATCAGAATTTTTTAGACAAGGTTTTTGGGCGGAGCAAGCAGTCTGAAAAGATGGATAGATCTGAAAGAAAAAGTGAAAATTTTATGAAAATTGTCGATCACAATCAATACGAAAATCGTATTCGTTTGTTTTTACACTTGAAAATAATAAGCAAATTATAAACTTATGATAATATGATACTAACCAGGATGCTCAAGAAGAACAAGATAAAATAATAAGAAATGAATTTCATGGTTTCAAGCTGTAAATAGATGATTAACAGTACTGAAGTAATAATGTAGTGAACTGAGAACCTCTCAATTCGACAGAGGCTTTATATGCCTGAAATTTATTTATTCATTGAACACTGACGATACTGTAACTGATAAACATTGTTCGATAACTAGTGTGTAAATATAATTTTAATAATTAGCAATTTAAATTAATTTGCTGATAGTTTTCATGTCTGTTTGAATAATTTAAGTACAAGCTATTACTAGGTGAGTCGAAATTGACGCAAGTAATTAAATTAGTATAAGAAATGTATCAAGGTTAGGTTAAAAAAGATTGCATTTCGTCATCTGGAAGGAATAAAACGATACTTGCAGATACGCTTATGATGGCATGTGATGTATCAGCTATATGCAAATCTTGGTCAATACAAAAGCGAATAGTTCAATTCTTTGTTGATGAATTGTTGCAACAAGGTGACTTGGGAAAGACTCAACTGACAGTCTGTACCAATAATGGACAGGGACAGACAACATGAGTTTCCAGTTATGCAAGTAACATTCATCGATACAATTTGTCTACCCATTTATCAAGTTTGCCAAGTTGAACGACAAAAACTTCTGATTATAACTGATTTCATGTGTTTTTCTTATCTTTCAAATCCGACCTTTTTGATCAGCTTTGAATGATTTTTGGCCCTACTTGGAACCCTTTTTATGGAACATGTTTAGATAACCGTTCTAAATGGAAGGATACTCAATTGTCTGAGAATTTGGTCGGCGAAACTTGACAAATTGCCATTTTTCAAATGCCACGAAGATTGTTGTTTGAGATGACCTGAAAAATATACTTGCCTCACATGATTGATACATTTATTGTATTCATTGCACCAAATACATATTGATGCCTTTATGATACACATTATCATGCACATAGATATCAGAAATATTAGAGACACATCTGTGTCAATATGAATTGTTTATTGTAGATTGATACATGAAAACAAGTTAACCGAATGAGTTAAAACAATAAAGCTATTATTGAAATAAAGTTTTATTTTTGCACATCAAATAATGTTAATGCCTTTGTCATGGCTAAGCTGACCCTAACTAACAAGTTACAAGTTGAGCTTTTGGCTGAAAAATGCTTCGAAATTACTGTTTCACATGGAATTCTATAGAAATCTCAGTTTACTGGTTTTCGACCAGAAAGCACTATTGCACCCACAGTGGCTTGAATTCGCAAAAACTCATATTCGTTATTTTTGCCATTTTGCCAGCTCTGTCTACCAGAGTTTAAGGTTGGTGTTAAGATTTTCTTTTAAGAATAAGGAATCTTTCTCGTCTTGGTTACCGAGATGAAATGAAAGAAGGTAGGACTTTTTCTTGATACTTTCTTGCAAACTGCCTGCGACAGAGGACTGAATAAATAAATAAAGCAATGCATAACTGCATGCCAATTCCCATGTAAACCAGTAGAGTTCACCACCTAACTCACCTGATTCTCGACATATATTGAAATGAACTCAGATGATGCAGCGATTGAATAGCTCAATTATGAATCAATAGAGGGCAGTAGAAGTGAACAATTGAAAGTTTTCAACATTGCACGAGTTGGATTCTGTTTCGATAATTGTTTATTACTTTGATTTATCGAGATATAAAATGCTATTTGCTAAAACCTGGAAATAAATGTATAGATCAATAAATCGGTCAACAGATAAATGAAATGAAGAGACAAATTGCATCAAAAATTCAGTTGAATGAAAGAAACAAAACCTGTTTTTTGTAACATTTGACTCTTAGTGTCCTAAGCTAAATGCTCGTAAAGTAGACAAAGTTGATCTGATTCAATCAAAAATGCAATTGCCAGAAAAGGTTAAGTGTTTATCAGATGAGAAAATGCTCAAGATAAATCGAGACAAAATTCTCGTCATTAGTTAGAATCATTTCTGCTCAGTTAAGCCAACAAAGCTGATAAAAATTGTAGAAAAAGAAATCGAAGGGAAATTTAAGTTCGACCTGCGACCAGAAAAGAGACGTAGAAGATGATTCAAGATGTAAGATTCTCGGTAAAAAATGAATGGTAAGCATTGCTGAAAAAATGTTCATTATCGGGTAAAACTAGTCATGTTACTTGTTATTCGATGCATCAAGATCGAAGAGTTGTAAAAACTATTCAAGATGGAAAGTGAAATGAAAACACATATTTCGGGCAAAAGAGTAGCAGTCAAGCACCAAAAGAAACTGAATAAAATAGACACCTAAACGCTACAAATACAAACGATTTCATTAATGAAGGTAGACGCTACCTAAGAACAGTTTTGAATGTTGAAATGACGCATAATATCAAACAAAATCAATGAGTCAATAGTTTTTTCAAGCTTTTTACCAAAACTGGCAAAATTCAAACAAATCAGGCTCGAAACAACAAAAATGACCACTTCAAAATCGATAAATGAGCTTTTTTGATATTGAATCTGTAGATTTTACATTTTGAAAGTACAACTAGGAATACAAATGAAATTTCTCTCTCTGAACTCTTTTCTTTCGATGCAGACTGATTGTCTAATTGTTTTTTGTACTTTGAATGCTGCCAAATAAGCTGGTCAAGTTGAATCGTAAATTATTTTCTTATTGTTATCAGAATAATTCAGAAAATAAAAGCAAGAGAAACTGTATTTGCATCGAAAAATTGTCATTCACTTGAGTCAACAATTCAATTTATATCCAAAATTTCATGGGACACTAACATCATCAACAACAAAACTGAGCAACATTGAATGGAGACGAAAAGCTGAAGAGAAAATATTAGATAACAAATAACAATATTAATAGTAATAACAAATGTTAAGGAAAAGGCTGCTTTTGCAGCGAGTTTAGTTTCATTTTTTTATTGCTTCTATCATGTTTGATATAATAAATGTTGAACGATTCAGATTAAAGGGAGAAACTAGAAACAACGAAAAGTTATGAGCTGAATGAATGGTGCGTGAAAAGGGGAACAAAATAAAACAATGAAAATGATCGAGTTGGATGAAAGTGAAGAAGAAATGTGTAAAGACGAAAAACAAAGAAAGCAAATCTGTCAATACAACAATTGTTGATACAAAAAGTATTCTCTAAGCAAAATTTGGCATAATTCATCAAACATTTTTCGAATTTTTCTTCGGAAAACATTCTTTCTAGTCTATCTATTTTGTCCAAACATATTATTCACCTTTACACTCGTTTCCATTGGCACATTCACATTAGACAACAAACTGCATCAAGCTATTGAAAATCAGATTTTCTCTTCTCAATATTAATCTTTTTCACATGATAAAACAATTCATCTCAATCTTTATCCAAATATTCAGTCTTTATAAATTCTTCTGAATCGAACTTTCCGTTTTTTGTTAAAATTTTACCCTTTATCGAATCTTTCGAATTAAAAATGAACTCACCATGATTAGCCCTGTTTAAGAAGTGAGTCGATAAACTCTGTGATGATTTCATCGAACACTACACTATCTAATTTTCAGATTGCGCTAATTTTTTTGTCAAAATAAATGTGAGTTTACTGTAATTGAATGCGTAAAGAGACTAAATGTTAACCCCAAGGTGTAGAGTATAATATTCGCACGGAAGTTACATTTATTTGAAAATTGATGATTGATGTTTATACTGTTCAGCTTTCACAATTTTCCAGCTCATCACTAGACGTTTTGAATTAGATTTAATTTTAGTTTTAATTGTTTTGTATCAGCTGTGGCAATATTCAAACAGTAAACTAAATAATTTAAAGGTTGAAGGCTAGATCGATTTAATGAAAAATACAGTTAATGGTTGTATACTTTATCTCTAGATGTAAGGCGAATCAAACTGCTATGAAAATAGTGATATGTAAAGAAGAGAATGCAAATTATAATAAGTCTAAATAGTTTAAATATCAAAGTTGAAATTCTGAATGATTTCGTACGATAAAAAATACACAGAGAAAACCTATTTAGAAAAACTAGCTATGTATTATGAACCTGAAATCAAATAAAGATCGAAAGACAGATATTTACTTTGAAAATTAAGTGACTGAAATTGAACAAGAAATATTTGCTCAAACCAGGTGACATTCGAATCTGACTCGTCATCTATTGGCTGAAAGCAAGTATAAAAGACCATTATTTTCATTGAGCTGTTATCAGTTACAGCTTTTATTTGTTCCAGTTAATCTAATTTTCAAAAACGTTTAAATTTCTTATCCAAAAAAAAAGCAAAAAACAAAATGGAATTGACCAAAACAGTTCAACTCGTGTTTTTCATCGCTTTCGTTGCTATGTTCAATTGTGTTTCTGCTAAGGGTCCACAAAATCTCATGTGCGACAATTTAGATGATATTGAAGCAGGCTTATGTTGAAATTAATGTGACCTACAGATACCTTAACCATATTTGATTTCAGAACGATGAAAATGATAAACTTTAATAAAATGATTTGGACTTAAAATTCGTATAAATTTCGTTCGGAAAAGTTTCGATGTTCAAATCTTAATTAAAATGTATATAGTGTAATCATGATTAAATATTGTTATGATCTAATAAAGCTAAAACGAATCAAACTTATATAAGCCACAATAACTCAAAATCTGTACCATAAACTCATGCAAAACAATTAAGCAATGGAGACTATTAAATTTGATAAATGCGAGTAGAAAATTGTATTTGATTTTTGAAAAGTCATCGATCTTGGTGTGAGTAGAGCAACTTCATATCGTATTCACAACTAAGTGGCAGGTCATAAAACATTTTGAATTGATCCTTAGAACTGCAGAATTTTTCGGGTTATCCAATATCATGCTTCCAATAGCAAAGTGTTAGCGCGTTTATTAATTTGATTTCTTAAGAAAACTATTGGTCAAATAAAAAAATGATAATCTGAAATTATTAATGTGTAGTTTAATCAATTTGCCGAGAAAAATGTGTGAATATTAGAAGTCCCAAGAATCTATTAGTAGAAAATATGTTCAACTGAAAATCAAATTTGTACACCGAGTAAGAATGGTCATTGATTTTACCCTTGCATTCAGTCACATTTGTTAGACTTGGTCGAGAAAAACGTAAAGTTTACAGTTCGCAATAGAAATACTAATGGAAACTTCAACTTTTGTCTAACAGATGCAACCAGACATTCAACTAAGCACAACATTGGCTTCATTTACTACGGTTCCAGTTTATTCAAGCTTTCATGGCTATCTTCACATTCTTCATTTCCTTATCTTCCATCATCATCATCTTTTTCCTCTCTTCTGTTTCTGACGTTATATACATATCAATTCACGCATACCCATCATCATCATCTTTTTCCCATTTTAACCTTTTCTCTTCCTTTTTTATCTCAACCAATCTATAACTATTCTTCATCATGATGAACATTTTTCTATCATCTTGCTTTTCTCATTTCCTCTTTTCGTTGTCCTCTCACATCTCAAGTTAAGCCCCAGAAAAAAGACTATTTTTACTCTCAGAACATTTTCCCCCAAAGAGAACCAACAAAATGCAACTTCAAGTATCACCTTTACCTACTAACCTGATAATTTTCAAAAAAAGTAATCAAAATGTTCAGTCCAACAAATTTAAAAATATTCGCGTTTCGCGCTTCTCACCTTTCACAATGTTTTTCATGATTGTTTGTCAAATTACGCCAAATTAGTTGCAATTTACTTTGGACCACAAAAGACATGAGTACAAAGGCAACATCAAGTTTCATGGGAGTCGAGAGTGAGTAACTTCATCTATAGGATTGTGATGATCAAATCAAAGTGTTTGATGCTCAAATTCAGTTGAGTTGAAGAAATGATCAGATGCAGTTGACTTTACAATGTGAAAGGAAACGAAATTTTTTTCAAAAAAAAACTCTTAAAATGTTTGTCTTCCAGTTGAGTCATAATGAAGTTGAAAGTGAAATATTGTTTAACCATCAAAGCTACCAAAGTGACCAAACATAATCATTGCTCCAAAGTTTCAAAACTCAGTGATAACTTCAAGTGTGAGTAAAGTGAAAAGAAATGAATCGACAAAAGTTGATTAAAGTTTGTTGAAAGCCAAATGGATATTGTCTAGTTGCCAATGTTTTTCGAGTCCAAAGTTGAACACCTTTTATCGTTGACCTTTTCACTTCTGCTTCAACCAATAATGACCATTTAATTGTGAAACAATGAGATGCTTAATTGTCTGGATATTGCTGTTTGCGCGTTCCATTGGACTTTCTCCCAATGAAATTCATCGATCAAGATTGAATGATACAAATTCATGGTCAACCTCATCATCATCATTTAATAGCAATTTACCCTTTTATCGAACATGTAAGTTGCAATTTTGAAGAGAAAAACTTCTCTTTCCTTCTCTTTTCTATTCTGGGTGAAACTCTGGAAAAAATTGAATTCTGTATAAATGCATTTCCTGGTGCAACATTTGGTGAACTCATTTATTTTATAATTGATTTTTATTGAACAAACATGTTTTCCAAATGCAAATCAAAGTATTAAAGGTGAAATTGCATTTACTTATTTGAACAACATTTAGTCTCATTAAAAAACTTATAATGAAAAGTTGAGCGAAAAGTTTTTTAATGTTGAGAGAGAAAAAAATGAAAGTCGAGTTTCATGGAATACTTCAACACTTTATGATTAGATAATGGCAGTCAACTTCATCATTCTTCAATGAAAATCAATTTGAATCTCTTATTGTTCTGAAAGATAATCATGAAAATTTCAATTTATCCAATGAAGCTACAGAATTCATCTTTCATCAATTCATGTCGAAAAAATGATTGGTAGCGTTAAATCATTTCCTTGCCTTTGATTAGAGCTAACAAAAAATCTTCGAAATCTTTTCAATTTTTCGAAAAATCTTCATATTCGAAAAATAGCATTTTTCATTTTCCTAACTTTATTGACGAATCCATTCTTTTAATTTCATCAAATGAGATAAATTGAAAAGCTACTTTTCTTTATTGATACGAAATTAGCATTTGTTTCAAGTCGATCTTTTTTATTCATATTTCTGACTTTACTTTCATCAAAAATGAATGAAAATTTCAATAATTATCTTTGTTTCTGATGAAACTTTTTGTCCTTAAATATCTTGCAATACTGAATGTTTTAAAATTTAATAATGAAAAGTTTCCAAACAAAATATGAATAGAATTAGGAATTTTTTTTCTTTTTCCATAACTTTACATGTTCAATAAAATTGTTCTGAATATATATCATGATGAACACATGAATTGACAATTTGTCTTCATCTTACCTCAACATCAGCTTAATGATAATAACTCAAATAGCATTATTATTATGATAATGATACAAAGTAAGATGATGGAAATGCTAATAATAAATTCTGTTGGAATAACAATTTTTATAATGCATCAAATATTTGGATGAATTTTGATGCTTCAATTTTATTAAAGCTTATCATGAGTTGGTAATGGTAAGCTAATAAAGTGAGAAAAAAGTGTTTCATTTGTTATACAAATGGAAGAGAAAAAGGCTTTTTCTTTATCGCTTCAGTTTTCATTTAGAAATGTTTTTTCATTTTCTTTTCTTCCAGCCGGCAATCCATCATTGCTAGATTCACAGGGGCCACAGTTTACCCGACAACCTCCACTTTTGGTTGACTTTTTAAACTCAACAGGAACCATAATTCCATGCTCAGCAAGTGGCCTACCAACGCCAACAATTGTCTGGCTCAAAGATGATGGTACACCACTTATTGACATCATCAGCCTTCGTCAAGTTTCACCCGATGGTTCACTAGTCTTTCTACCCTTTACCCCTTCCCAGTATCGCGGTGATGTACACTCGACAATCTACAAGTGTAGAGCAACAAATGTCATCGGAACCATTGAGAGTAACCCGGTTCGGGTTAAAGCAAGTAAGTAGATGAGCCCGCTAACTTTATCCAAAGCATTTAACTGTCAATATCTTTTCATCCAAAACAACGAACAACTTGGAAAATTAAAATTTGATAATTTTTTAGATATTTTCAAGCTTAAGTTTTATTTTTGTCCAATTTGTGGCTCAATGTCTACAACAGTTGAACAATATGAACTGCAAGAAGATTGTTAATATTGAATATCGAAGGAAACTTGATACCAAGATGAGGTTTAAATTTCATTCCTTTCATTGTTTCATTACATTTCACTGATTAACCAGAAACTTTATCAAATTACTATCTCATTGACCCTTGACCAAGGTCAAGATTCTCGAGTCCATTACAAGAATAGACTCTTTTATTAAGGTCAACTTGACCATTTGAAACAATTAAATGGTCACAAATAAAAATAGCTTCACCTAAATATTGAATTACTCTGTAAGTTGATACCCAAAACGATAAAGTGAAACCATTTAAAATGGTAAACACTAATTGACGTTAGACTTCAATTAATTTACTCCAACAAATGAATACCGAAGGAAACTTTCATTTATTATCAATTTAAAGTTTCGGGTAAAAATGGGTTTCACTTTAATTGGAATGTAAGACAAAAAAATGGTAAAAGCAGAAACAAAGTATCGAAATGGCAAGAAAAAATGTAAACATTTTTTTTCGCTTTTCTCACTCCCAGTCGTAATAAAAGGTTGGTTGATAAATTGTTGATAATTTAATCTCAAGATAACTTATCATGAGTAAATTTGACAACAATCATCGCCATAATAAATGTAATAAGCATTATTAATATCTCAACATGGTAAACATATGAGCATAAAAAAGTTGCGATGAAATGAAAGAAATGGAAAGAAGGAAAAACTGAAATGATAAATATTTAAGAGGAAGGATAATGCGAGAGAGAGAGAAAAGTAAATTTGATAAAAAAATTTGATAACATGAGACATGGAATGATATGAGGGAGAGAAAAAAAGTAAAGCAAGAAAATATCAAAATAAAACTATCAACATGACATGTAAGAAGATGAAAAAGTTTCTAAAAGAAAATTCATTCCTAAAAGTATTCTTTAATTACAAATGATGAATAATGAATAAGCTATTAAAGAAGAAAAAAGTTCTGTTCGATTCAATTTTAAGCATGAAAATTGAATATTAAGTTTCCATTGATTCGCTGATTGGAAATGATGGATTCTTTTTCTTGCGGCTAAGTTGCATTTTATTGTTTCAACCAAACTTATTGTTTTCATTCAAATTTTGATCAAAACTCGAATTTCCTTAAGCTGATTCGAACTTTGTTTTTCCTTTTTTTGTTTTGCAAAAAAACAAAAGAAAAACAATGAAAAGTAAAAGTTTTGAAGGAAAATTTAAGTCGTTAATGGAAAGTGCGAAGCAATAATTGTACAACTTTTTAGTCAAACTCGTTGATCGTTTTGCATTCAATGATTAAAGTGAAAGAGTTTAGGTAAATGAAACAAATGACAAGCAACAAGGAAAACATTAACAACAATATTAGTCAAAGAAAAAAAAAGTAATAGATTTAATCGCCCAGAAGGATTTTGCCCTTTCTCTTTACCTTCAAGGTTCATAGATTATTTTTTGTTTTGTTGTCAAAATGCAAGCCAAAAAAGTATACACAAAATGAGAATGATCTGAATGAGAATGATGGTGAAGATAAAAAGGTAAAGAAGAAGAAGAAGAAGAGAATAATTTGATAAACATTTGCCTTTAAGGAAGTCTCAATCTTGTGTATGATTTTTTTGTGGATAAACTTTATTTTTATACTAAGCATATTATATTTTTACCATCGCCTTCACCTTAAAGCTAACAGTTAATGATCAATGTAAACCATTAGAGAATCAATTTTTTACTTGTTTTTTCCCTTCCCTTGTATTATGTTGACTTACCATCATCTTTACTCAGTCCCAGTAAACGTTACACTAATCATTATAATGATAATAAGGTTAATACACAATGAAAAGTTGGTCATGAATTTTTTCAGCCTTTTCTTGCTCTTATTTTGTTTACTACCACAAAGAAACATTTGCTAAGTTTATTTCAATATTTTTGTCTACTTTTGTCAATTTGTTTTTTTCGTCCAATTTTGTTCGAAGTGAATTGTCTTTTTACTTTTGCTTTGTTAACCTTCATCATTCATCAAGTTTCATCATGTTGCTTGGAGTAGTTATTGGAGAAACAAAAAAAGTGTCTTATAATTTATCAAATTATGCGCCTCATAACATAGTATAATTAACAATTAACTTGGTGGGAAGACAAAGAAAGGTGAATAAATACTGTTAATAATCGTAAGAATAATAATCAAAATGATAATAAGAGAACAGAAACAAAATGATGGAAAAGTAAATGTAAAAGCAATTAGTTCAAGTTCACCTTTCTCATCTTATTTTGTACAATAGTTAATCAGAAAAGTTCAGTTAATAATTGGTTGCCCCTCTGACAGCGATTCAACAGTTATCAATTTTTGTTACGAATATATTGAATAAAATGTTGAATATAAATGATTAAAATGAAAATGTTTGGTGAATAAGCAAAAGTAAATTTCCAACTGAACCACTCACACGTTTAACCAGTCAAGTACAAAAGTCAACCTAGAAGAGCGCACCTTCTAGGTTGTAAACTTGTTGTCAGTTAAGGGTAAATAGTCGAGTGTGTATGCTCCATTAACAGAGTATTTGATATTTGCTGATGAGAAAAAACCATTTCCGATTATTTAGTGACCACAAACTTACCTCCAACTATCGTATCTATTCATTGTCTGCAAAGTATTTACTCACCGGTCGAGTGTTTAAACTGGTCCAATCACTTATGGACTAGTTGATTCCTCTAGAGCCAGGATACTAGTTACACGGTTGAGCTCATTATTGCCCACCTCAACTCACTGTCAGTGTTACTTGGCTATCATCTTGTCTCGTTGTTGAACTTAAGTAACTTGACTATTATAACCAGACATGGAATAAATAGCGAAAATTCTTTTAAACTTTAACTCAATAATCAGAAGAATAATGTTGGATAGTGTTTCAGAATTTTCAGTGTTGTATAAAATGCAGAATTCTCGGAGAAACAGGAAGGAAAAGGACAACAAAATAACAACAAACCATGTTAACCTAAAATGTTGTTTACCCAAATGATGAGAAAAGAACAAAAATCTCTTCATTATCTTGTTCCCTTCGCCATGACTCGACTTTTATTCTATCCTCAAATTACTCCAAGATTAAGTTAATAACAGAGTTAATATTATTTCTCCTCATCCAAGGTGGAAAAATATCGCCTCATTCATCTTTGACCATTGGTCAATACAAAAGACTCTGATAATCCATTTACAAATTAGCATAGAGTTTCACCAAGCCGCAGACAACTTTTCATCTTCACCATAATCAGTTAATCTCATCATGTTTTCACAAACAGATGCACCTTGATAAGAAAAGAAAATGATTCAAACGAAAAAAAATTACGCATTTATCGCCAAATTCCGACTCAAAGTTCCTCATCCTTTCCAAGTCAAAACATTCAGGGTAAAAATTGCGACTCAATTAAATTGGCTTCTCGAACAATATTTATAAAACGATTTATCTGAGGATGAAACTCGAGGGAATGAACAAGAAATGAAAAAACAAAATATTTTCCATTTAATAACTTATAGATTATTCCAAATGGGAATGAAAAGCAAAAACTTTTTTTTCTTCTCATTTTTTTCTCCGTTAATTTAAATACCATTATATTTGTCCAAACCTAAAAATAAACTTGAACTGATTATCTTTAAAATTCCCAGTTCCAATAGCAACAATCTTGCCTCCCAGCTTCTGGTCTAATAATATTGAATGATATTAAGGCAAAGAAAATTTCTTTTCGAAAAAAAACTCCCAAAAGTTGTGGTTGAATATTCGATTGAATAAGAAGAGAAAAACTTTTGCAGCAAAAGTCAACCTGAAACTGGTAAACTCGAGTTTAACTAGAACGACAGGGAAAAAGAAATTTCAATAATGATGATTGGAATATTTTGTTTTGAGGTTATTTAAACATTAAAACTTGAATAATCCACTGAAATTGAACTTTTCTTCTTTCGATAAATACTACAATACATTTGGGATTGAATGTTTCAAATCTGATAATCCATCAATCAGATTGATTGGTTATCATCACAGGGAATGATCAAGGAACCAGGCAAGGAAAAAAGGTTTGGTAATTGAAATAATGTTGACAAAAAAAAGATTTTGTGGAAACGAGAAAAAATGAGATTATTTTGGTTTCATCATTTCATGATGCTCATGTTGAGCTACAAATACTTTGATGTGATCACTTTTTCAATGTGTATTCATGTACATAAAGTTTCCTCAAAGGACAGGTTCAATATTGGATAGGTAAACAGTTTAATATTGTTTGAGACTTTGGAGTAAAAAAGAAATTCCAACAACTTTTTCTTCAACAAAATTTCCAAATGTTACTGAATCATTTACATTGAAATTATGAGTTTCGAAAAAAGAGAAGAAAAGAAAATCTCAATCAATTTCATCGATTCAGTGATTAAATTTTCTGCCCAATTCTCATTTCAATACTTGACTAGCCATTTATATCCACTTTTATCGTTCTCATGCTTTTCCGTTATCATCAAGTCACCCATGAAATTTAAAGACACTTTAAATTGTGTCAATTGTGTGCTGTTGGGTGAAAAGTTGAGATAAACTGATGAAAGATGAAACAGTTGAAACTCTTGAGTGAATCACAATTTTTCGATTTTTTAGACAACAAGAGAAGAAAAGTTTGCTACTTTTCAGGGTGAAAAATGTGCAATATGAAAGATGAACAGTTGAATGAATTGATCTCATGAGGATGGTGAGAAGAGTAAAAATTGATGATTCATCTGCATTCCATTAAAACAACATCCATCTTGCTTCTTTCATCATCATGACTATAATCATGAACTGGAATGGAAAAGAGTGAGAAAAAGAAGAAAAAACGAAAAGTCAATCAGTT